GCATTGACGCATTAACTCGGATCCACAGATATGGGATAGATAATTTACTGTAAAGGGGTCATTGTTATTATTGTTAATAAGTCGCTAAGCAAGGATCGAAGGACAAAAGTACAGAAGCTGGGGATCCGCCAGAAGGATGAGTCAGCAGCCACAACAGAATCCCCCAATTTCCTCACGTGTGTCGCGCCATCACCTCGTCGCATCGAATGGGATCATCTTGCGAGCGAGCATTGATGTGAAATCATCAAGGATAAGATTGTCCTCATGACAGACAGGACCAACTCGGGAGTTCGTAACTCATTCCGAGCCCGCGCGGTACGTTTCGACCCCCACAGGCAGATTTAGGATAGCTCTAATTCAACCGGCACAGTGCGACAATTGCCGACAGAGAAAGGTAATCGAAATTCCTTCATTTGGCACAGCAGGTCTAACCGACATAGATCAAATGCAATAAAGCCATTCCATGCTCCAGTTGTGGCGCACTTGGAATCCCATGTCGGGCGAATGGTGTCACTGTGAGCACTCCAGAACCGCCGCAAAGGACCGCCTCTGGACAATAGTATGGGATACCAAAGTTCGTGGCCAAGTAGTATATTGATATTCTATTCAGTGAGAAGAAAATTGATGCGCTACAAGAGCAACTAGCAGCGATCCAAAACACTCTGCAGCAGATTACGCAGTCTCCCATTCCTCCCTCGACACCTCAGTCCACTCATCCTGCAGCTGTGAACATCCCGTCTACTCCCTCTGCACCTCTTTTTGAAGGCCAATCCTCCTTCAATAACGAGGTTATCATTGCCAGGGATGCAGCTCTGTCGGCTGTTGCAACATCGCAGCCAGGAAGAGTGGACCCCCATGTTTCAGCAGTCTTGTCTTCCCTTAGGAGCAGTCTCGACCAGCAGCAGGGATCGTCCACGGTTATCGAGCCACTTTCGCAGTCGAAGGTTGAACTTTTACCTCAAGAGTTTCTCGTTGCTCTGATTAAAAAAGTCAAAGGTATTCTGACTTCCCATTCGGTTGACCTGTCTTGCTAAGCCAGTTAAAAGTGCAACCGCCCTTCTTCCTGACCACTCATTCATGGAGAGACGTTCGCCAGATTGAGTCACTATGTCATGCGATCTATTTCCCAGTAGATCCCGTCCCCGCGGGCTCTCTGACTCTTCTGCATGGATTGTTATACTACATTATCCGTGACTATCTCCATGAGGAGTGCTCAGATCTTGCACGCTTTGACCTCGTAGCGTACGCCGGATTCTGCGAGCGGCACTTCCTGGCTGGACTGAAAAGCTACGAGATGATGTGCGACCCGACACTTCAGAAAGTCCAGTCTCTGCTCATCGGGGTATGTGTTTCCGATTCTACCGGACGCAGCTAATCCGCGTTCAGATAATAAAAGCCCAAGAAGAGTCTGATCTCCAGCTGTGCTGGACCTTCCTCGCTTTGGCCTTCAATATGTGTCAAAGCATGGGTCTCCACCGAAGTGCCGCCCTGAAACACGATCCCATCCCGGTCGCTGAGGCTAAGCGCCATGCCTTCTGGTCGCTGTACACCATTGACAAGAATCTGTCATTGAATCTTGGATTAGTTTCGCATTTCCAGAACCATGACATCGATGCAGAGTTCTTCACACCTTCTGACAACCCACAGTACCGCCCCTGGGACCTGATGACTCTCACCACGATTGACTTCGCCACTTTACAGGGGCGCATCTACGATCGGCTCTACTCGACTTCGGCGACTCGGGCCACTGAATCAGAAAGGTTGGAGTCCATAGAAGAGCTGTCGAAGGACTTGATGCTGGTTCGCGAACGCCTTCTTGGGGTAAGTGTCTTGATCGTTGACTTTGTACTTTTACTAACCCTGGCTAGATCGATGTGAGCCAAGGACTCTATGCGGAGTCGCTTCACGGGATGGCTGCATGCGCAGATTTCATCACGCACTCCGTGATGACCGTAATCCTTCGGGCGCAGACGCGGGCCAGTGACGCCATGGCAATCACGTCTCAATGCTACGAGGCGGCAATGCGAGCCCTGCAGAGTCACCTGGAGTGCTTTACCTATTTTCGCAACCGGAAAACCCATAAGCAAACTGAATATGTCAATTGGTATGCCATATGCACCCGCACTTGAGATCGCACTAATGGAATAGGATTCTATTATACCCGTCATTCACACCGTTTGTCATTGTCTTCATACATGCCATCACGACGGCGAGCACATTCGATCTGGCATTGTTGCAAGATACCGTTCAATCCTTGGAACTGTTCAAGGGACTCTCCCGCGGCTCAGATCGACTTTACACAATCTGCGCAGCTTTCTCTAGGACTGCTCAGATTCTCGTAGACTCGGAAGAAACGCTCGAAGGCCTCACGCAACACCGGGACGGATCGCTTGTCATGCCGGCTCTAGACAGCAACATCGCTCTACCCAACGTTGAGTGGCCGGAAAATGCGTTTGATTCGCACATGAACAGCACTGATATCTCCATGTTCCTCAATGATTTCATCGGGACACATCGTTCCGTGATGGATATATTAAACTCTGACTATATGAATGAGACTTGACCACAACTATCTGTCTATCGTACAAACTCAATATTTTTCCTTCTAGTCTACAGGGATGTATCAAATGACGTACTAAACTGGTCAGCTCATCCTTTGTGAAGCAATTCGGCAGAACTTACTGGGATAAAGAGACAAGGGACCCGGCGCTCATACTCCATCCAAGCCTCCCCGTATCGCTCCCGGCAGCGCATGATATCCCGCCTCGCGCGATGGATAATCATGACGGTGAAGAAGCAAGAGTAGAACCAGGGGAACGGCGAATTGAACCCGGTAATGAGGCCCCAGGAAATAGCGAAGAACAGGTCACATGTATAATGCACCTTGCGCGCCATGCCATCTGCCCACGTCAGCTGTGTAACCTGCACTCGGKGATGATGACTTACACCATCCGCTGCAAAGGATTGAATCGCCCGTCTTTGTTGGAATGCTCTGGGGATTTTCGACGTATTTCCAGGGCAACTGGGGGAACGACTTGCGGTCGACGGTGACGCCGCGTTCCTGGGCGCGGAAAAAGTTCTTCTGGCTGTTGCAGGTATCCCAAACCCAATACATGAACAAGTATGCAACGGCCCACACAGCCAGAACCCACGGATTCCAGTGGTAAGTGGACGGATCATGGGATGCCAAATACAGAGTGCAGTGGCAGTAGCTCATGGGCACGCCGGCCAAATTCCAGAAGATGAGCATGAATCCCCACTTTTCATAGTACATGTCCCTGTCCAAATCAGTATGATTGCTATATGCCCACGAGGAAAGCGACGAACCAGCTGGTGATGATCAACTCCTCTCCCTTGGCGCAGGCGTTGGCGTACAGGAAATGGGCCATGAGCAAGAAGAGCACCTCCCCAGAGACGAACCCGTACTCCTCAAATTGCTTCAGCGCCGTTCCCAGGGTCAACAGGAACAGGATGAACCACGGAATGCGGACTTCGAAGAACATCTTGAAATCCAACCAGCCAAACAGCCGCGGGTTGAGCTCCGCGCCCATGAAGAAGTCATAGACATGCGAGCCCGTCATGCGGTGCTCCGCTCCCCGCGCCAGAGCAGAGATGTATGCCACGATCGACACGAGAAATCCCGAGCAGATAGCGACAGACATCAATGGTCCGAACTCATCAATGAGGGTGTACAGCTTGAAGATACCGGTAAAGTGCAGCACCAATGCGCTGCCAATAGTGACATACCACGATGACACGGCGGAGCAGTAATAGGGAAGCTGTTTCCCGCCGAGATGGGGTAGCCGTTTTCCCTTGCCGTATACGCCCGGGAGGTACAGGTACCCGGCGCCTTCGAGAATAAGAAAGGTCCAGTAAATTTTCCAGGCTTTGCGGGTGGGATAGGCATGGGTGTATGCGAGGTTAACGAGGTGCGAGAGGAAGTCTGTCCACGATTGTCCTTCCTCGGGGGTGGGAAGGTGGCCGTCGTAATGGATAGCACCGATGTACATGTAGTACATCAGCAGCGGGAAGCCGATCATGAGCAGGGCCACACCGGGGGCGCCGCCAAACTCGAATTCAACTTTTTCATCCGACAAGGACGCATTATCGGGGCTTTTCTTGTCTTTTGCTGCCATTTTGCTCTCTATGGTCTATTGTACTCCGAAGTCAATCACTTATTCACCGAAGTAGGGGAGTGACGAGCACTTACCGCTGTTGGTTTGCAACAATTGAAATTCACGTTTAAACGCACGGAGAAGCAAGTCTTGACTTATATCCTCTTGCAAAAGGGCAATCCGTAGACACACTAATGCTGTCAAACTAGGACTTCATCCGCGATGTTCACGGTTACCACGGCCGCCGCGGAGACCGCGGAAAACGCGCCGACCACGGTTCGAGCATCTTTTGCGTCAAAGTATCCGTGGAATCAGTGTTGGTGAGTAACATTACGGATTAAGAATAATATTAAAATTGGACCCGACCGGATTAAGGATTCGGGCACTTAATCGGTTGTGCAGTATTATACCCATGTCTCGTAAACTCGGGCGTGCAAGCTCATTTCCCCATATACAGCAAATATATACATAGCTGCGGCGCGTACAACAGAGCAATTCTCACATTGTGCCTACGACCATTGTTTTCCTGACATGAGAAATCTTATCTAGAAGACCATATCCTCAGGCTTGAATCGTTCATTAGCTTCAAGAGCGATGCTGCTGCCCACTTGAGATGACACTCAAACAATGCTGCCCGAGTTATAAACCAGGAACATCAGACTACCTCAACAAATTAACAATAAGTACGATGAACAAATAGCAAATACATTCACCGCACCCAAGGTAGATGTCAGCCGAATAAGAAATCGGAAAGGAAGTAAGCATAAGGTAGTTGACGTTCCGTGCCGTGCTTACCCCGCATGACCCCGTCTCTTAATAGCACCTGATACTCCCATCCCCTCCCTTATACTCACCTCATCAGAAGCACCGCAACTAGACAGAACCATGACGCATCAAGTGAAAGGAACCGCATTCATCACAGGCGGCGCATCCGGCATCGGCGAAGCCACCGCGCACGTCCTCGCAAAGAACGGGATTAGCGCGCTCGCACTGCTAGACGTCAACCAGGTACTCCTTGAGGAGACGAAAAAGCAACTATTGTCTGAGCATGCACAGCTCCGCGTCGCTGTCTTCCAAGTCGACGTCAGGGACGAGGGAGCCGTCGAGGATGCCGTACGGAAGACGGCGGAGGAATTCGGACAGATCGATATCGGGGTGAACGCTGCGGGCATCGCTGGCAAGCCGGGTCCATCGCATGATACGGAGCTGTCGGACTGGCAGAGGGTGATTGATATCAATCAGACGGGGTTGTGGGTCTGTCAGCGGGCGTTGATTCGGCAGATGCTGAAGCAGGAGTATGTGTTTGCTTGTGATCATGAGTACGAGCACGGCTGAGGAGATAGGTCTCGAGGAGGGCGCGAAGGACGCGGCACGATTGTCAATATCGCGTCGATGTATGGGGTTAGAGCGCCGCCCGGGGGAATTGCGATTGCGCCGTATGTGGCTGCGAAACATGGTGCGTTCCCTTTCGGCCTTGCTGCCCTGGATTGTACTAACGAGGACGGATAGCTGTTGTCGGGCTAACCAAGATGGTATATCATTCTGAGTGGGATTGGGAACGAAGCTGACGTAGTAGGATGCCAAATCGTATGCCGGAGAGGGTATTCGCATCAACGCCATATGTCCCGGGTATGCAGTCTCCGGAGATATTGGTGCTGTACTGACGATACAGGTTTGTGGAAACGCCTATGATAAGACGGTCGATAGAATCTGGCGCGCTCGACTCGCAGGTCGCGATGATTCCCTTGGGACGTACTGGGATGACGGAGGAGATTGCCGACGCGATTCTATTTCTCGCTTCTCCCATGAGCAGCTACATGTGTGGAGAAGCACTGGTGGTAGATGGAGGATTGACAGCATAATAGCTTCATCGGCAATTATCGTGAGCAATAAAGGCTTAGATCAAATCGCTATATACATCTCGTCTATGCACGCTTAAGCAGAAGCAGTAGCCGGGGGATAATCCACGTAGCATTTGGCATTATCCTCAAACGGACCGTAGAACCGAGAACGATCGTACGGCGTGAAAGGGATGCCCTTCCTCAACCGCTCGACAAGATCCGGATTACTGGTGAAGTAACGACCGTACAGCAGGGCATCGTACCGGCCTTCCTCCAGCACGCCCCAGGAGTTGCTCTGGTCCCAGCCTCCAGCCGAGAAGAAGGGAGTAGTGCCAAAAATCTTGCGGAAGCTGCTCAGATCGACGTCCAAAAGTCCCCAGCTGCGGAGGAAGTTGTCCTTTTCCTCGTAGCTGAAGATTTGCTCATAGCGCTGGGTCATAATTAGACTGTGACGGGTCCGGGTTGTATGGCAGGCAAACTCACCGGCTCTATGAAACTGACGTAAGACAGATTCGGATGCGCCTTTTTCAGCGATTCGCACAGGAAGGTCCAGGTTTCCACTCGCTGCTCGCCGCGCGCCTGGTTGAACAGTCCGAATGGCGAGAGGCGAATAGCCAGATTGTCCTCGCCCACCGTGGCCGCCAACTCATCCATGAGCTCGAGGACAAACCGACAGCGCTTCTCCGGCGAGCCACCGTACTCATCCGTGCGCTTGTTGACGTTGGAGCTCAGAAACTGCTCGGGCAAATACCCATTGCCCGCGTGCAGCTCGACGCCATCGAAGCCAATCTCCATGGCTGTCTTGGCGACGTTGCAGTAATCGCGGATGGTCTGCTTCAGATGCGGGATGGTGAGCTCGATGGGCGGATGGTCCGCGTACCGCACCGGCTCGGTGGATCCCACGGGGGGATGGGAGTAGCATTCGGTCGGCGAGTCCCAGACCGTTGCGGAGGCTGAGACAGCAGGCGAGCCCGTCATCTGGGGGATGGTGGCACGGCCTGCGTGCCACAGCTGGCAGTAGATGTAGCCGCCTTGTTCGTGCACGGCGTCGACGACCCTCTTCCAGCCGGCGGCCTGTTCGGGAGTCCACAGACCAGGGACGCCGGGCATGCCATTGCTCTGTGAGGGTCAAGGTCAGTTGTGCTCTGACAGATTCAAAAGGTACAAACCTCCAACGAGGGTGGAACACCCTCAGAGATGATTAATCCGCCGGGAGTGGCGCGCTGGCGATAGTACTGGACCATGAGATCGCCCGGATACCAGATACGATTGGGCTGCTCCGGGGTGCTGGTGGGATTGAGCGGAACGCCCCGGTTGCGCGTCATGGGAGCATGGACCACCCGATGAGAGAGGCGAATCCTGCCATTTGCGATCTCCAGGGGCTGGAAGAGCATCGAGTCTTCGCCGTCGAGCTTGCGGATCGTCATTGTTATGGTACTTGCTAGATGACGTGACTACAGATGGTAAACAGTGGCTATGCAGAGGCTCGATGATGTGCAGCTTTACCAGGGAAGGCGAACCATGGATTGATCAGAAAGGGAAGCTTGAAGAGCTGGTTGGAGGATTGATAATAGGATTTATGGTGGAGATGAAACAGAGGACATAGCGGCCATAACTGGGAGGAGTGTGTGCCCCTCGCTCGGTTCCCCTGAAACGCAGCCCATTTTGATGGACTAATCGTTTTCTACATAAGTCCTAGACTGGAAACGATGCCAATTGAAAGGTTGACAAGACAAAGCGAATTGTCCAACCACAGCGTTGGGAATGGGAACGGATGGAGCACCAAGTGGGCTTGTCTCGGTCTCTCCACCCATAGGTCCGCACCCATTTTTAAATGCCTTTGCCGAACATCACGAGGAGACAAGTAGCTTGATAAAATAAAGGTTTCAGGTCAGTCAATTGGCCTTGGATTTGCAATAGACTTTGCTGTGTCAATGGACGGAGATCATCGAGTTCAGCATACTTGTCGTCTGCTGTCGACTTTGATACCCAGCACACATGAGCACGATTAAATGGTGGTCAATATGGCTATTCAACTAGTTTGTGTCTAATAGCAGAAGGCAATAGATAATTTCTTTCCAGTTTGTCACTTATGATGGAAGCGAGAACGTCCCGCTATAGCAACCGTCAAACTCTGTTCCCCATTGTCGGCGCCGCATTATCCCAATCGGAACGCACCATTTATCTTGGGAACGGGGCTATTTTCAGATGAACCAATCATTGCGCTCGGAAAAGGCGTCAAGTGTCCGCCTCGTTTTGCCGCGGGCTCGGCGCCATGTCGTATTCCTTTGGAAGCTAACCTCGACTAAGGAAATAGTCCAGTCCAGCGAAAACCCTCGTGCTGTTGCCCGAGCCATCCTCTATTCTTTTCGTTCCATCCATTGCTCAGGTCTAGCCAGGCTAATTATGTGGCAAAGACGGCTCGAATCCGCCGTGACCAAGAATTGAGACGGGATGGCGCCAGCTACAGGCACGGTGCTATGCAGATCAGGGCAAAATTTTTCCGCACTACTGACGAGGCGTTGCTTGTCAATTCGACAGGTTTCCATCTCGATTGCTTGAAGTTCTTGTGGTCTATTGCTATACTCCGTACAATGGGATTGTTGAGGATGATCCGCGGAATTATAGTACTAGATTTGAGACAATGCAGCGATTGAGGACCCTGTTTCAAGATATGCCGTGCTCCGTAGACAGATGCAGTTATTCACGCGGCATAGCCAGTGGCCATGGTGTTTATCATTTCCCTATCAGTGCAAATACACTGCAGTCACGTTTAGTGTTACTAGGATAGTACCTGGTCTATTGCCCCATTCCCCTATCACGATCGAGCTTGGCTCGAACGAACCTGACGCCTGCCATGTCATTCCCCCATCCGGTTCCCACTACGGAGTGCGTGGAACCCGTGGATGCACGGTAATAAAATTGCATAATGGCAATTTTCTTCGCAATGGCTTGAGATCAACCTATCACATGCCTTCCTCGGAAGAAAATTGCCATCAAACTCTTGAACTACGGATCGGCAGCAGACTGGACTCCCATGGGATCAGCAGCAGATGGGACCAGGCTATAGCTAAATGGGTTTGACTGGATTGAGGGTAGCATTCAGGCCAATATAGATTACCTGGGCCACCCGACTTAGCCTCCTTTACCTCAGTCCTTCTCCGGTCTGTTTGATTTCGATTCTGAATTCTTATTTTGTACTCCTGCCTCTGGCATCATGCCCACTTGACGGACACAATGAGTGCAGACGCCGTCACACAGCCTGTGGATGTCCTGCACACGGTCAATCTGGTGACACAATGTCTGTGTATACCAATCGTCACCATCTTCGTGGCCATGCGGCTCTCCATCCGCTTATGGTACCGCCAATTTTCGCTCCTTGAAGACGGTACGTACTGGCCGATTGCACTCCACGGAAGAATGCTAACATCAGCAGCGTCATGTCTCATCGCATGGGCAAGTTGCTTGACTATCTGCCATTGAGATCTACTAACATCATGTAGGCCCTGTTCATGGGATACTGCGCCATCGCCATCATCAGTAGGCCACCCTTCCTGTATCGTCTCGAATCATCTAACTGTGATAGTCGGCCAACATGGCGGCGGATACCATCAATCCGACCTTCACGACTCGGCAATGATGATCGCGTACTTTAAATTCTGCTACATCGCCACCGTCCTCTACTGTCCCATGGCGCTCTTCGTCAAGATCGCCCTCCTCTCCATCATCATCCGCATTTTCGCTCCGTACCGAAGCAAGATCATCTTCATCTACGTCCTCCTCGGCTGCCTGTGCGTCTACTACATCATCGCCGAGATCGTCAAGATCCGCATGTGCGACCCCATTCCGTCCTACTGGGAGGGCACCCCGGGACGGAAATGTCTCGACCAGAGCGCCGCTCTCCTGGCCGACTCGGTCATCAGTGTCATCAGCGATTTGATCATCCTCATTCTACCGCTGCCCTTGACCTGGTCGCTGCAGATGTCGCGGAACAAGAAACTGCGGGTGATAGGGATTCTGTCGGCGGGAGGCCTGGCCACGGCGTTTAGTATCTACCGGCTGATTCTCGTGCTGCGCGACGGCAAAACCACGGATATGACCATCTTCTTCATCTGCATCATTATGTCTGGGTATGTTTATCCCTTTCTCTTGGTATGACCTGTCTAACTCCCGCAGAAATGCCGAAGGAGGCGTCGGCCTCATCTGCGCCTGTCTGCCGAGCCTTAACATCCTCCTCACGAGAGTTCGCAAGAACGGCTACAGCTCCAACAGATACGCCGAACAGGACTCATCCATGCAACTCGGCCATGTGAAGCCGTCCAACAGCAAGCGTTTCTCCATGGGGCTTTCGAAGAACGAGACCTACGTGGATCCGACCGAGTTTGGGTGCGATCAGAGCCATTTGATCTCGCACGCGGGCGTCGTGGACGGTGAGTCGCACGATGCAGCGCTTGGCATCCACAAGACGGTCGACGTGTCGCAGACGGTTGAGGTGTTGGATGGGAGTGGTAGTGACCATAGTCATCCTCCTCGGTACTGATGTCTTTTCGTATATGCCTGGGTGGTTTTGTGATAGCAGTATGTTTTCTTTTTATACATTAGACCAGGGCATAGCATTTTAAATATATGAACCAGTCTCCAACATTAGTTTTAGTTTATTTGCTGTCCAATCAATTCTTTGTTTCGTGCAGTGTGCCTAGGCAGCCGTCCAGCTGATTTCGGATTGCCCAGCCACCCAGCCTCGTGTCAGCCGCACCCAGCGATCAATGCTCTTTCCGTCGCGCTCTGCATCATCTGTACAACGCAAACATCAGACATAAATGCTTAGCATCTTCTTAACTTGAACGTCCACTTCTCTCCTTTTCCAGAGAACAAGTTTCGATGGCTGAAGTTGCTGAATCTGAAAAGGTACGAGCCCTCGCTCTCATATAGCCCCGTTCTTACATGGACAGAATCCACTACAACCTCCTTTCTCGCGGTCTCTGCACAATTCCAGAAAGCAAGAGACCGGAGGAGAGGATCTTCAGCCCAAAGATGGCAGCGTCACTGAAACCACCGACCGCAGTCAAGATGTGCTGCTGACTCTACCAACCATCTCTCGCGCAGCAGACCACCACGTCTTCCTGGTGCAAGATGACATCCAAACATTCCTCAGCACGGATCTTGATCTCTCGCGAGTCAACATCATCCACAATCTTCTCTGGATGGCCGGCCGACCGATGAACGCGCGGCCCCTCCAGCGCCAGAAAATGATGGGCTTCGAGATCATCCCAACCGAGCGCGCGGACCTGCATCTGCTGAAATTCTCCAACAAGCTGCTAATCAAGCCACTGCCAGAGTACATTCTCGACCATGACTTCTGGACGCGGCACCTCTGCTCCTCGCGGACCCTGCACGAGTCCGCGACCGGGCTCCTCCTCTCGTACATGTGGCTGATCTGCACCCCGCTGGACCTGCAGCTCGCACACGACCACAGCCTCATCCCCAAAGACCTCACCTGGTCCTGGTGGAAGGCCTTCGTTACCGAGTTCTACGCGCACGTTGACGTCAACGCACTGGACACAGTCAACAAGCGCTACCAGTTCGGGGAGCTGCGGCTCGGCCGCATCAACACCATCTACCGTGTGCGGTTCTTCCTGTCGCATTTCATCCGCGGCTATCTGTACGGGTATAACCGGTACGTGGTGTTCTACGAGCGCAACTTCGCCTGGATGTTGATGATCTTTGCCGTCTTCTCGCTGGTGCTGTCGGCCATGCAGGTCGCGGCGGGTGTGCCGCGGTTGACTGCCAATGCGGCCTTCCAGGACACGACGTATGGGTTCGTGATTCTGTCGATTGTGGTGGTGGCGGTCTTTCTGGGCGTGCTGGGCACGTTGTTCAGTGGGATTTATCTATTTAATATGTTTGCGGCCATCTCTCAGTGTCGCCGGGAGAGGATCAAGAGGGAGCAGCTTGCGAGAGAAAGGATACGCGGGGAGAGCATACAGCGTAGCTAGTCGATTACCCCTAGACATGTTTATTGAATGACCAGCGTACTATACAGGCCTGCAATTAAGCATTCCAATCTACCAGCCCATCCTCTCCAACTTTCTCCTTAATGAGCCGATGACTCAAATCCCACAGCGCAGCTCCCAGCATCGGGTCCGACGCCTGCGCCGACTCCTTCCCTGGCTGTGCCACATCGCTAAAGTAGTACCCGTTCCATCCCCTCTCCTCGATCTCCGGACTCGTCGCCGCATACAACGCACTGTACGAGCCCTGCTCGACGTTCCGGCCCACAGCCAGCATAGCAGTCGTGAGCAGCTTGCCAAGTAAACCGGGGTACGCGTCTTTCCACTGCTGCTGCATCGCCGTGTTGACCTACGACCTCGGATTAGCTTTATCACTTGACACCAGGAAATGTAACGCACCGCGCCAGGATGCACCGAAAGCGCATAGATATTATCCTTGTTCGGCTTAATCACCCGCTCAACAAGCCCATACTTGACCCCCAGGATAATCGCCAGCTTCGTCCGGCCGTACACCTCTGTGCTGCCAATCTCGGGATTGTTGATCTCCTCCACAGACCCGAAATGCACCACCTTGGGCGCATTGCGGTGCTGCTCCGAGGACTCGAAGACAACCCGCGGCGGCGGCGTACCGGGAATCTTGGCCGTCTTGCGCAGCAGAGGCCAAAGCTGGTTGACGACGTAGAACTGGCCGAGGAAATTCACCTCGAAGTGTCGGTCTAGCGCATCCGTTGTCTCGCCGTACTGGTTTACGTTGATGCCCGCGGAGAGAATGAGCTGGTCGCATTAGCATGCATTGGCGTCCGCATATCCTTGTGGCTAACGTACAAGGTCAAGTCGGCTCTCTCGCTCCCGGATCCCAGAGAACACCTCCTTGATTTCTTTTAGATTGCCCATGTCGCAGGGGATCCATTCGATTTTGGCGTCGGGCCCGGCCTCCTCTTTGATCTTGTCGATGGCGGACTGGCCTTGCTCTTCTTTGCGGTTGACCATGATGACGCGCGCGCCGTTTAGCACGAAGGCGCGAGAGATTTCATATCTGCGCTGCTTTAGTGGGAGTACTGGAAAAAAGAATGATTTAGACTTACCCGATGCCCAGGGCTCCGCCGGTCACTAGGGCGACTCGGCCTGTGAGATCGTGGATCTCCTTTTTGGGACCGATTACGGGTTGAAGTACGGACTGCATGGTGTAGATTAGATTATTATTACTGGGTTAATTGGTCTGATGGAATGTTATGCTTTTGCTATACTAGCTGTACTTGCTTGAGTGTGGTGTTTATATTATAGTTGACTGTGATAATCGTCATGATGATATCAGAGCACCGCCAAGATCAGACGTTGGCTGTAGCAGGATTTCATACAAACACATTGTCTCATATAGAACAGGTAACGGGTCTATTCTGCAGAATGAGATAACGGTGGATATTGCTGGTTCTTGCTCGTGGCCGATTTATTGGTTGCTGCATGTTGCATGGATTGCTATGGCATCTGCGTCTACCAAACTTACCCAACACACAATTTTCAGGAACGACCTTTCTGTTTTAGGCCCCAAATACTTTTCTTTTAACTGATTTGCTAGTCGAGTATTTAAGAACTTGAGGTGATGTAGGGTAGAATATATCCATCGATATCCTGCTCTACACTCTACACCGACAAGGATAAATGATAAAGTTGTGACGTGTATCGTTTCATTAAAGTGGCTATTTGAAATTATCAGAGGAAGGAAACAACAGCAAGCGCCTCATGAAACAGTTGAATGTAGCAAGTCGACCGAGATGAAACACCGAGATACCGTATCAAGTCATAACTCGTAAGACATGAGAACCAATCCAGAGACACTGTTCAAGACGGCGAATGCTTTGCCAGAGTATCCACAAAGGTCTCGCCCCATTTGGCACTGCTTTTGTCAGCCATGAACATCTACAGCCGGAGATCGACGTACCTCGTATGAGTCGTGACAAACTCGCTCAGCTCTTTGTATCGCCGCTTCTTCTCCTCATCGTCCATGGTGACCGCCTGGTGGATGGCTTTGGCGAGCTCGCGCGTGCTGGACGGATGGAAGGTGAGGCTGCCATGGCCCATGAAAGACGCCGCGCCCGCTAGTTCCGAGAGCACCAGCACTCCCCATCGATTTTCCTGGCAGGCGACGTACTCCGAGGCCACGAGGTTCATTCCGTCCCGATGAGAGGTGATGAGACAGGCTTTGGCGACGCAGTACAGCGCTGTCAGCTCGGGGAAGGAGACGGAACGGTGGATGTAGATCAGTGGTACGCCCTCCGGGGTGGCTGGATGGTCAGCTAGACTACTGCAAACAGACTTGCAAAACTTACCATAAGTTCCACAGATCTTCCCGACGAGGGTCGAAATCTCCTTTTCGAGTTCCTGGTACTCCTTGACGTCCTCGCGACTGGGAACCGCAACCTGGATCAAGACCACCTTCTTCGCTAGCTCGGGGTTCTCCTTTAGGAACTCCTCGAATCCCTGGAGCTTCTGCACCAGGCCCTTGGTGTAGTCCAGCCGATCCACGCCGACAATGACAATCTTGTCCTTGTACTCCTCATCCAATTCCTGGATACGTTTGATGACCGTCTCGTCTTTCAACGCGTCGTCAAACTTCTGGGGATCAATGCCAACCACGAATACACCAACGTGAGCACGGTGATCTTCGAATTGGATTTCATTGCTGCCTGTAGCGCGAGCGCCCCTGTCCACTGTCAGCGCGACCCATATAGATAGAAAGAGTAGGTACATACAAACTGTGTTCGCAAGCATCGGTAAAATTCCGTTTGTACTCCTCAGTATGGAATCCAATCACGTCGCAAGCAAGAACACCCTTGAGCAGCTCCTTCTCGACCGGCAGGGAGCGCCAGAAGTCTCCTGCCGGGAAGGGAGTGTGCAGCGTGAACCCAATCGGGCACTTCTTCCCCTGGCTCTTGAGACGCTCGCGAAGGAGCTCTGGCAAAAGCAGGAGATGGTAGTCGTGCACCCAGATTAGATCGCCGTCTTTTGCTTCGTTGGCGACCGTATCAGCGAAGATCTCATTGACGCGCTGGTAGGCCTTCCAGTAATCCTCGTTGAAGTCAACACCAGACTGATAATGGAGGATCGGCCAGAGAATAGAATCTAGATCCCGTCAGCTCGGTTCTGCTAACTTGGCTGGGTGATCGTACTTGAGAATCCGTTATAATGAGCATGTCCCAGCTTCTCCTCCAGAAAGATACCCTTTGCGCCTTTCTCTTCCAGAGATTTCGCTGCCTCCTTCTGCTCTTCGGGATCGGGAATATTGACTCCTGGCCAGCCGAACCATTTGAACGTCGTCGAGTTGGTCAAGCCGGACAGAGCAGTCACCAGTCCACCACTGGAGAGGCTGGACTCGAAACCACCATCGACCTTCTTGAGCGACAGCGGTAGACGGTTGGAGACTATGATCAAGCCCCGCTTTTTCTGGTCTTCAGACGCCATGACTATGGTGATGTGTTGCGGATGGGTTTGTTGTGGTTACTTGCGCCAGAACTATGTACCTCTAAACCTCTAAATCAACTCTGTGCAGTATAAGTACAAGAGCGAGATGTGAGCGTATATTCACTGAAGGATAAACTCTGTCGTCAGGATGAATCGTCTGCCAAGCAAGTTGATGGACACGCAGCCTTGGTGTTGACCACCCACCTGCGGTAAATGACGTAATCTATATCAACCGCAGTGAATCATCCACCATGGCATCAGCCACGGTATTAGCTGATTGGGCTATATTTGGCACAATCTTGACACTTGTAACGCCTAGACGATTCTTGTCAGGTTCAAAGCGAAACCTGAAACCTGCAAGGCTGAGCGATCGCCTTGATGCTGACGTCGAATCAGATAAAAGTACTGGTACCGCATGTCTTCCAAGGTTTCCTGAAGCGGCATTGGATAGTCCCGTGGAGTATATCTATATGTATCCTTGATCCTACCCCTTGATATGATTGATCATTATGGATTAATGAATCATGAAATGTTGATCACTTTGACCTCAAGCTGAATATTTGTGGAGAAATTATCCCCACAAGATTATTGGATGACAGATGCTGCTCTGGCACAACCTCATCATGACGTTTGTTCGCTCCAGCCACAGTAGTCTCACCCGCCAATGTCATCCCATCCCACGGCAACATCAGGGTACATCAGACAAGGTCTCCTCAAATCCCGAAATAATATTCGGAGGGTAGCCGATCAGCGTCCTAAAGGCCTAAGTTCTAACTGTTAACCCCACTTGTACATTCATCCCTACTTAGACTCGGGATGTCGGTGTCTGAATTCGCAATGTGGCGCAAGGAGGAGGGGAACCCATGAGTCTCTAGAACGGATCTAGGCCGCAAATATAGGCTAGGAGAAGAACAGAGCCGAGTCTTTATCGGTTGAAGATAGAGTTTCTTCATGCCGTGTGCCTGAAGACCAAATGACTACTCGGCATACCGAGAATCTGTTCACTTGGGTGGGTTAGATCATCATTATTATCACACATCAAGTTCTTGAAATATGCCTCTCAATGTCCAGCTAGAGGCTACCTAAGAACTTGATCTGTCGGTCACCCGATGAGGACTAATTGACATTATGATAACTGAATTTTGTGGGGTCAATCATCAGTTTGACTTTATCCTCTCCGCTTTTTGTTCATAGAAACCAGCTCCGCGAACGGAGAAACCCCGACTTGCGAGTTGGACGCGGAGGGTTTTCGGCTCTGGGCAGTGTGTACACCAGCCGAAAGGAAGATATAAACAGCAGCTATTAGAAGCTTGAATTGGACAAGTGAGCCAAAATCACGCACTACACAATCAGCCCTTCTCAGAACACAATAACTAGCGCTGAAGACTCCGTCAACATCCTCTGCTACAAGGCGTGGGTCGGTACGTTCCTATCCTCCAAAGGCTAGCCTTAAAAATATGGTAGTACCCTGTGCAATCTCAGGTCTCAAAGGAAGCCAAGCAGCGCGCTCAGAATGTCCTTGACACTGAATTGGATATCACGTTCATGACTACTTTTACCAGACCAGGGGACCACCAGGAGGACCCAAGTTGAGTCCAGGATGGAGTGAAGCCGTATGTTCTCACAGTGTCCACGGACTTGCCATACTAACTTCCATCTGGGGCCACCACTTACCCGGGAGTGACAGACGAGGGCAAACGCAGCCCTGCTGAAAACTTCACTCAGGGTCTGGACGAGTAGACCAATCAGAGGGTTCTGTCTTATGTGTGTTGACGAGGAGATTATATCAGTTCTACTTCGATGAGATGCAATCTACTATGCGACAGAGACCATACCGGCACGCAGTACCTTCAGCAGAACAAAATATGGACATGGACCTGAAGAGTTTTATTGGAACAGCTGGCGAGGATCTTCCTCGGGTGGGTTCGGGTGCTGCCGTGTGGGGGTCTCCTCAGTGGCATTATCATGGGGATGGCGCTGAATGTTCTCAACTGGGACGGTAATCTAGAGTAGACGTGTTACATATACATAATCTTGGAGGCGATGACCCAGCTGCGGGTCTTATCTCTATGAATACAAGCTTTCTACATTGGAACAATGTGCAGGAGCACAAAGTGCGAGTTCCACATGACATCGCCGATCAGGCGTCCGTTCACCGCGAATCTGACAGCTCGGAGCGGGGTAAACATCCGTGCACTAACAGATCGGCTTGTATAACTTCATCTCCAAACACACCACACTAGCTTGTACTTTTCAATTCATTACACTATCAACTCGTCAAGATGATCTTCGAACCGGCAGAGCGCGTCCTCCTCCCTTCTGTGGATGTCATCTCCTACATCTTCGACAATACATATGATGCCAACCGACCGGTAGTCCGACCTCATCAAGATCATTCATAATACTGATGCTGACAGATCTACGTTGATGTTCATAATCCCTCCCGATCGATCAGCTGCGCTCAAGCTCGGAAGATCGTCCGTCAGTTGATTGCCGGTCTACGCGCCTGGGGAGTCAAACCGGGCGATTGCGTCGCCATCCACTCTTTCAATGATGTATTCTCCCTCTCCTATATCCCCTTACACGACTCATGGATAATAGATCTACTATTGTATGCTTGTTCTGGCCATCGTTGGCGCCGGCGGTATCTACACTGGTACCAATCCATCGTACACGCCAATGGAGCTGTCGCATCATTTCAAGGCGTCCGACGCAAAGTTTTTAATCTCAGAGCCAGAGATTCTAGCCCCTGTTCTTGCAGCCGTCAAGGAGAGAGGCATTCCCGAAGGGAACGTGCTCATCTTCGATGTCCTGGGACAGGAGATCCCCGCTGGTCGGCGATCATGGAAGGATCTATTCAACCACGGCGAACAAGACTGGGTGGCCTTTAATGACCTGCAACGGGCCAAGGAAACTGCAGCCGCAAGACTATTCAGCAGTGGGACAACAGGCCTGCCCAAAGCCGTGACCATCACGCATCACAGCTTCATCGCAGAGCACTTGTTGTGCTTCGAGGTGCATCCCCGACCGTACCAGGTCTCCCGCATCGTCGCAATGCCCGTTTTCCACGTCGCAGCAGCCACCTGGACGCACTTTGGCGCCCTCAAAGCTGGGCACACAATCTACATGATGCGCCGCTTCGACCTCGAGACCTTTTTGGTGTCCAATGAAAAATACCAAGTAACCGACATGGCCATCGTCCCGCCCATGGCGATCGCCATCCTGCAGTCGCCATTCTCGCGGACCAGGCCATTCCTGCACTCCGTCAAGGTCGTCAACTGCGGTGCCGCCCCGCTCGACAAAGACGTACAGGCCAGGTTCCGAGCCCTCCTCAAAGAAGGAACCCCCTTTACCCAGGTCTGGGGCATGACGGAAACCTGCTCCATCGCGATGATGTTCACCTACCCGGAGGACGACGACACGGGGTCCGTAGGCCGGTTACTCCCGAACATGGAAGCCAAGTATTCTTCCCCCCCTTCTACCTGCTTGAGCCTTCTACTAACTGTCCAGACTAATCGACGAGAACGGAAACAACATCTCCGCGTTTGGCGTCCGCGGCGAGCTCTGCGTGCGTGGGCCCATCGTCACACCGGGGTACTACCGCAACGACTCCGCCAACGCCACGTCCTTCGATAACGAGGGCTGGTTCAAAACGGGGGATATCGCGTACTGCGACGGGCGCACGCGCAAATGGTACATCGTCGACAGGAGAAAAGAGCTCATCAAGGTCCGGGGGTTCCAGGTTGCGCCGGCGGAGCTGGAGGCTGTGCTTCTGGGGCATCCGCATATTATCGATACGGCCGTGATTGGGCTGGTGATTCCCGGGGCAGACACCGAGTATCCCCGTGCGTATGTGGTTAGACGGCCTGGTAAGGAAGGCGAGAAGCTCACGGAGGAGGATGTGAGGAAGTATCTTGGCGAGAGGCTGGCTAGGTACAAGGCGTTGACTGGGGGCGTTAAGTTTGTAGATGCCATTGCGAAGACTGCTAGTGGGAAGATCCTGAAGAAAGAGTTGAGGGAGGATAGTAAGAGGGATATTGAGGCCGGATTGAGGCCGAAGCTTTAGATGGTCTAAATACAGATGACACATAGATCATGAGCGAAAGAATCTACTGAGGAATCCCTTCTTTGGCTCCTGCGCCTTGGTCTCCTCCAACACTCCGACTTGCAAGCGGTCTCGATAACGGGCGAGGATTGATGTATCATGATACTCGAGGAATTTGTCTGTTGCATCTTTTCCGGCAACCTTTTGCAGGACTGTCTTGTCAGACTGCCTTCTTGGTCTATCAGTAGATAACTCACTCCTTTCACCCCCGGGATGCTCTGCCTGGAACTGGGTGACGTCGTAAACCTCCTTGTCGATTACTATCCAGAGATCCTTGGAGGTATTATGTCGCGAGACATCTTGCAATGAATAGATAGGAAGCGAAGTAGCCATGCTGAGTTCTCTATCATCGCCAGAAAGGTCTTGTCATAAATAGTCAGCCCCGAGCGGGGTATTCATGCTGACCAGGTATCCCTGCCTCGGGGACTGCATAAGCTGACAATGCGGTGGCAACAATCCTGGTTGGCCTTGCAAACATCCCGGCATCCAATCCATGTTGGCATGGACCCTTGTCTGGCCCGGTATACAATAACTGCTATATCATATCATCCTCCAATATCAACAGCTCTCTACCATCCTCCCCTCCTCCTCACTCCACCTATAGACCCTCCCCTCCCCCACATTATACCTATAATAATTATCCGTCCCAGCAGGCACCACCGCCCTCCGAAACGTAATATTAACCCTCCCTTGGCGCGTATCACTCCCCCTCCGCTTCGGAACAGAATGCAGCCAATTCGCCTGCGTCTCGCCCCGCATGACCACCATATCCCCATCCGCCAGGGCCATCTTGACCGGCGCTGCCTCAACACCTTCAGTCGGTTTATGCTTCATGAGGAAATCCCGCTTTGCGCCGAGCGACAACGACGCAATGCAGGGATTCGGGCCGAGGAACCGCTCGTCGTCCGAGTGGTAGGTGATACTGTCGTCGCCTGATGCGTAGTAGTTTACCAGGCAAAAGTTGTAGCGTGCACCGTCGGTAGCGGCCTCGACGCGTTGGCGGAGGATGTCGAGGCAGGGTGGGATTGGGCGCGGTGTGGATTTGTATTTGGTGCTTGGGATGGGGGTGTGGGATTTGCTGTCGACCAGAATGGGATCAGAGGTATTGGGTGAAGGGGTGAAGAGGGAGGTGTCGTCGACGCCAAAGACGGTGGTGAAGCGCGGGGTGGTGATCTGGGTGGTGGTCGGGCCGCGGCAAATGGTGTACTGGACGCGGTAGAAAGGGAGTTCGCGGCGGAGGAAGTGGAAGAGCTCGCGGGCGGTAGGTGGAGGGATGAAAGGTCGGTAGTAGAGCAGGTCCAGATGCGGCTGGTTGGTAATGCTGCGTGGTGTGGTGGCTGGGAGATTCGGGAGCGCGTTGGCGATGGATGGGGGGAGGTCTGCGATGGGGAAGCGATAGCTGGGATGATGGGAGTAGGACGATGGAGGGGTGTCCTCAATACGCGGCTTTTTGGGTTTACTGATGGGTTTGTAGAAGGATTCCACTGTCCGTTTAGCCATTGTCATCTGGGGATGGAGTGGTGGATGGAGACGATCAAGAAGAGATCAAGGGATGATGTCACGGATGAGACAGATAAGATAACCCTAATTAACCATAAATATCCAGCCATCTATATACTGCTCCATGTCCGACTTGAAATAGCCGGTAAATAGTCAACTCGTTCTGGGCATTTCATAATAGATGTTGTATTTCCTGCTGTGTTGACCCTATTTGATATATGTCAATAGACATATTATCAGAACAGCCCCACCAAACATGCAACAACCATTCAAACCCTGGCTCTTCCAGAATATGCCCGTCTCAATATCATTCAAGGCAGAGGCAACCGAAAGCCATCAGGTCTGCTTCAGCAAGAAATGCCACTAGTAGTTCATCTTCATTTTCCACGGTTATTGCCTCAGCCGAGGAGCACATGGAACGATCAACCGACTGGAAGATGAATTGACACACCGTGGATACAGACTGCCTGTTTGTTGCACTTATGTCTATGGCTTTCCGATCCTAAAAGCATGCAAGAAGGAATGAATGTCAATTATTCGGCCATTTCTCTTTTGGTGACATTATCCAACAAGGCATTGGCCCATCAGGGAGTGTCTCATTGACCTCATGGAACTCTTCCCAGATTTTCTTCAGGGTAACCTTTTTGGTCGACATCAGCTCATAAAATTTGTTGAACAGTTGAGCACAGGTAACCTTAACACGCCCGTCGTAGCCATCAGCATCTGGGCCCGGTAACGACCAGTCAGGATCAATAGCCCAAGCCCAATTATATGGAAAGGGTCCTAGATGGGTATCCCGACATTCGGTAGGCACATTGATAAATACATTGGAAAGAACACCTGGTTGGAGACCGTATTTATCTCGACGGTCGCGAAAGTCCCTGAGTAGCATAAGTTAGCAAGTACTCACAGTCATCTGTGAAAGTTGAGAGTACATACTGTCGAAGTTGATCCACTCCGCCCATTTCAGGTTCATAATCGACAAAATCAATGATCTTGGAATCTTGGATTTTTTCGCCGAATTCGAGAAACGGCATTGTGACAGGGTGAAAACTCAAAAGCTCATTAAAGTAGTCCCAACATGCTCTCCACGCCTCCTTGGTGCTTTCTTCCTCGTGAATGATTGAAGGACGGTAGATCACATAGCCCCAGCCTTTACCCTCGCGGTCAAGAATTTTTTGCACCCAGTCCGGCGGATGAGTCCAGTATCTCTCTCCAGCTTCAATTAAAGGCTTTGAGTGAGCTTTTAGCTTCTCAAGGTAGACCTCAAGGGCGTTTTCACGAGCCTTGAGTTCATCTGGCGCTGAAACAGCAGCCCGCGCCTGCTGCCACTTGTCGCTTAAGTCCTGACGCGCGATCCGGCGATGCATTCGGTCAGTACTGTATTTAACCGAATCTAGAGAACGCAATATATGAAAATCATCTTTAAACAAGCGGCATTCCGGATACGTAAGAGCGAGAGGATCATTGGCCGCTGTGTGAAAGAGATCTTGCAAAGACTTGCCAACGTATTTTTGACTTGTCTCCTCCATTTGTTCCAAGGAGGGCCATTCCAGTATAGCATGTTTCTCGTCCTGAGTTATCTCAGATGGTGACTGGATTGCTTTGTCATACAGGCTCTCCATAGAGGCCCATGCTTCGATATCTTCGATATCATCGGATAACTCAGCCATGCTGATCGTGTCTCTGTATCTGCTGGTCGCTGGTTGCTTTCAGGCCACGAGGTGGATGCCCCTTTTAAGGAGAATAATATCACCGCTAAACCTAAGCAGGAAGAGTCCCCGCAAGGTGGGCTGCTACTCGAACTAAAATCCACAATTGTCTATAGTTTGTTGTCTATACGGGGTCATCCATGGTAGACAGTTTTAGTGTGAGACTGGAAGTCCAGTATTCAATATCACTGTGGTTTCCACCAGAAGACGACATACAAGATATTTACGCGCAGAAAGAGGGTGAAGCATCAAACTGAACTAAAAAGGGCGAGGGAAAAGGTAACGGACTAGCAATCTGGCCAAACAGGTCGATCAAGCTCAGTGAAAAGCCATGTCGGGGTTGATCCATCGCTGAATTGTTTGTTCATCTGATTGAAATCTCGCCATATATCCTTCATTGTGAACCGGTTTGCGGATATAAAGTCGTAGAATTTGGTATAGAGCATGACCCAAGCGACCTTTACTCGTCCATTATACCATCCTCGTCAGGACCCGACAGTGACCAGTCTGGATCAATTACCGACACTCAAGGAAGCTCCACGTCTCTGTAGGGGGTCTGACATTCTTCTCTCGCCAGAATAAAGGCATTTGATAGGACTCCTGGCTTCAGGCTGCCTGTTTCCCGGCGATTGCAAAAGTCCCTGCTCAGTCTCAGTGGCAAAGAACTGCCTTGATAATAGTTAGCCTAACCTTCGCAACTGTTCGCCTCATCACCGTGACCTTGTCTCTCGAATTGAACGAAATCGACGATCTTGGAATCCTTGATCTGATCACTCCCAGTCACCTAGTAGGTTGATGGAGCAGCGTCTCGTCGAGTAGCGCTTGAAAATCTTCCCAGACCTCCATCGTTGCTTCTTCTCAGGGAGGATGCTGGGGCGGTATATCAGATAATCCCAAGCCTTGTCCTCTTTTTACAGTATTTTCTTCACCCATTCAGAGGCGACTGTTCTCGCTCTCTGGCGCGCTGCTCTATTTGCTGAATAGTGCGTCTCTTGCAATGTGTGATACTTGACTGGACCCATGTTCCGCATAGCCTGCGGCTCATCCTGGGATAGGACTGCAGCACAGGCTGCCTTCTACTTCTCTTCCAAATCTGGACGCCTTGCCCATGCTATTTTCCTCGTGTAGTAGCCGAACTTTCCAGCCGTTTCAGAACACGAAATTTATCATGCGCCAGGCGACATTAAAAGAAAAGGTACGAGCTGCCGGATTGGTGATTGCTTTCGAGAATAGCTCCATGGATTTTTCCAAGATGCTTTTGCGTATTTCCCTGCATTTCTTCCCACGTAGGCTACCTCAGGACCTTATGCTTTTCTTCCCGGGTTGTCTCAGCTGGAGACTGGATCTCCCTGTCTCATAGACCTTCCATTGCAGCCCATTTTTCAATTTTCGCGTGCGTCGCTCGGCCATGGTCTCCGCTATGTTGATTGCATGTGTGGKGGAAGTCCTCATAACCTTGATGCAGCTGTTGCCGAGTGCAAGGGAGACTCTCTTTAAGAACTCACTCATCGGCGGGGCCCAAACAAGCAAAGCACCCCTACTTTAGGGTGCTTTATGTGTACCTACGGCGGGCCTTTTCCATACCTGCCTGTATATCAGGATATCCAATACTTACATACTGGGATATGAAAAGTAGAGTATGAGTAGAGCATGAGGAGTCATTCTCCATTTACATTTGACATGCATGGACATTGAACCATTAGTTCCCCCTTCTCTTCCTTCGCTAGCAGTCTTCCACTCGAGCCTTCTTAAGCACTTTCCTCATACTGCACAAACACAAGGATCACAATTTGATTCACCCACTAGCTTGATGTTGAGTTCCGGAAATTGACACAAGTGATCGGCTGTGAATTTGAGACTTGAATTCCTCCAAACACAAGAAGACAGATTGCAGCAGCACATTCACCAATATAGAGAAGTGGTAGGCAACAATGGCCACAACTCGAAGCCGCATTCTTGGCTGTCAGCGGATTGCCCCATGTATGATACTGATATTCGGGCACAGGAGGAGGCTGAGGAGGTTGTGTCTGGGTGAGGGGACCATGGTGTTCACACTCTCCACAATCTGCACATGAAAGATATGGTTGGATTTGGTTGTTATTGTCGTTATTTCGGTAAATGCATTGATTGTCAATGGCAACCCATATCACCATCAAAAAGACAATGCCTACTAATGCAATCCCTGCTGGGCCTATCCAATTTGCACCAAAATAAAGGATTGACACACTAAGGCATATAAGTCCTGCAATCATCATACATGCAACAAGAAGGAACTGGAAAATAATGAACACACGAATATAATTAGTGACTCCCATATTGTCAGAGAATCCATATAGGATGATATAAATAGCACTAAGCGCGATGGGACTAGCCAGGAAGAGTTGTGATGCCAATATAAGGAGTGCTTGGACACGGCTGCCTTTACAGTCTGTAAGAACAAACTGTGTGCTCAGAGTAATAGTGCCAGCAAACGTGGAGACCAGGATAAGGACATTGGCAAGGTCGGTATAGAATTTTTTCTTCGGGTGATCATACCTATACATTGTGATGTCTCAGGAAATTCAAAATTGATGCTCTGTTACTCTTCATCTTCTGGCACACATTACATACAGGCAGATGTGCAAAGCATTTATGATATTCTTGCTGCCCCAGAAGACAGAGTATGTCTGTATGCATCATGGTATTGCTAGGAGGAAGCCTTATCAAATTGCATCATGACTCTTTCAAGAACTGGCCTAGTTAGAATGTCTTAAACATCATATTGTAATGTTTTGGAAGGGTAGCCAAACTTTCACAAAAAGGTTGAAAACAGCGACTGTTTGGTAGAGGGCAAAAATTAACATGGCTCAAATTTAGGGTTAGCACCTGACCAGTGGAGACAGAGTCAGAGTCCCTTGGGAGGTTATGACCTCATACTGACAACTATGGTTCTTTGGCTGTTCAATTTCCATATACTTTGAGATTCGCAGAATTGCAATCTAGCACATATTATAAAATCCATTAAGCCTTTGCATGTATCCTCTGCGATTCAGTAGTAAAGCAGCTAGGAATCGTTTCTATAGCTCCTCATGGATCCTCTCGTCCGGAAAGTCATAGCCCGGCCATCACAGAATGATCCATCAGCCAATATATTTAGTCCAGCTACCACATCCTCTGCTTTAGCTGGCGCCCGCCAGGCGATATGGTCGGTCCGTAATAGCCTAGAAACCGGACCGCCTCTCAACCCTACATCCGAAGGAAAACTGCTCATGACCCGATCGTTGGATCTGTATCGAAAAGTGCTAAGGAATAACTTCAATAATATTCCCTTGAACAAGCGGTTCTCCCGCAGCGTTCGGAATACAAGGTCGTCGTTCATAACAGAAATGGAGAACTTGAAACGTGATATCGACACCCTCGCACATGCCCCAATAAACAATGAGTTGTCCAATTACGATCTCTCCGATGTGGTGGATATTATCGAATGTATTATAGACCGCTTTGAAAAGGCGGCAAATTTGCTCGTGACTCACAGGAAAGCTATAAACGCATCCAACAAAACCCAGCAACAGATGAGACAGTTGGATCTTGTGTATCTCAGGGGTGTACGGGATGCAATCCGGACGTTTACCCAAAAGCCAGCTTGACGGTGTCAAAGTGCGTGAACACCCTCCTTGGCCTTCTTGCGGAAGTGATCCTTGACCAAAAAGACCAGACTCATCACCAGGCCCAATCCGGCCAACCCAAGCTCGAAGTAGAATGCCCCCCGATATCCCCTCTTTTTATCATCATAAGTGGTTCCTCCGCGATTGACCTCTCGCTCCACCGTACCCGCAAAGCCCAGCCCCAGCGAAATACTATAATTCACAACGGTCATGACCACACTGGCGCCAATCCCCTGATACTTAGGCGGCACAGCATCGGAGAAGATGATCGTCGCAGCGGGGAAGGACGAGTCCATACCGACACAGATGATGAGCACACTCCAGAAGAAATTACCCCAGTAGATCTGGTGCGCCGGCATCGTGGCGATGAGAATCGACCCGATCAGGTACGCGACCATGCCGATGACCATGACCCATGCGGCTGAGACGCGGCCAAGCAGCTTCCCCACCGCCAGCGCCGAGGCGAGTCCCGATGGTATCACCGGGCTGTACCACGCCGCGAGCAGCAAAGGGCTGACGTTGTTCAGCTCCATGACGAAGACGGCGGCGTAGTATACCCAGATGCCGAAGGTCGCCCAGCCGCAGGCGGTGCAGCCTAGCACGAAGGCAATGTCCGAGTTGAAGGCTCCAAGAGGCAGGATGGGATCCTTGGACCAGTGCAGTTCCACCCAAAAGAAGACGGCCGCGAACAGGAACCCGAGGATGAGGCACACGTAGACGTATGGTTCTTGCCAGCCGACGCCGGCGGCTTGATTCCACGCGAAATTGATCAGGACCAGAGAGGCCACGCCGGTAATGCATCCTGGGAGGTCCAGGTGCACGACCTTCTCGCGGACTGTCCGAGCTTTGGACGTACTGCTCATCGGCTGAGGCGRGATGGACCAGACGGCGAACATGGCCAGACAAGCAAGTGCGATGGCCGCGCTCCAGTACGCCCACGGCCACCAGGCCAGCGCAAAGAGGCCGCCCGTTGCAAAGCCAGAGATGGCGCCAAAGGGGGCACTGCCGCCGAAGAACGCAAAGGCCATGTTCTTGCGCGGGCCCGGGGCATACGACTGGCCGAGGATGGCGATGGCGTTGGGTAGCGTTACGGCCGGTCCCATTCCCTGGAAGACCCGGGCGAAGATGAAGAGGACCTGCGTGGAATAGACGGCCAGACCACAGACGAGCGTCCACAGCGCGTACCAGCCCATGCCAATAATGAACAGCCTCTTGTGTCCAAAGTCGTCGCCCAGCCGGCCGGCAATCAGGACGAAGGTGCCAATCGTCAAGCTGTAGCCGGCCACCAGCCACGACAGTTCGTTGCTGTTAGTGATTCCGTACCAGTCTCCAATGACACGGACCATGTCCATTGTTTGGCCCAGCCCGAGCTGATTCGTGTACATGGCCGAGCAGATGGTCAGGATGAACGGAATCTGACGATGAAGAGGGAGGGTATCCGCGATGTAGACATGTTCGTCCTTGGTGCCTTTGTCATCAGGAAGGGTGTCTATCAATTATATTGGTTACTCTGATTCCGATACAGCAAAAAAAATTTAAGAAGACTTACCTTTCGGGAGACCTCCCTGAGAAGAGAGCGATTGAGTCTCGCTAGTCCTCTGGTTCGACTCGGCAGCCATGAAGCTTGTCTATTAGCAATTGACATTGGCAATTGACAATCTAAAGAATAAAGAGTAAGAAGGAGCATAAATATATTTCTTTTTTTAAAGGCAAATCGGTCGTATACAACCACCATGTCCAAGACCGACCGGACATGGAAGCCCGCTGCGACCGTCCCGGGGATCGACCACAGAACTCCGGGGGCGGCGACCACCAACTCCGGGCTGCCTTTAGGGGCAACATGCCCGGAGTTGGGCACTCTTAGGGCTACCATACTCCATAAAGCAACGGCCATGCGTCACCCACGCTGATTCTTGATTCCATAATCGATCATCTCCACTCCGGCGCACTATAAGATTCTCCATCCACCTTCTTTTTGCTCTCGCTGGTTTTAGACAACACGCGCCGTCCGAAGCACTGCACCTGCACCTGGATCCTGGCGAGTGCCATGGAGCGAGGCGAAGGAATCAATCCGGTCGACGATCTGCTGGGAGTTATTCAAGAGGTCCAACACAAGCATGGTGATTACTACTACTTATGGTAACACATACACGGTCAGTAATTATTCCAACAATTGCTCAGAACAGCCATTGCCCAGTCAGCAACCCAGGAGAGATCACATGGAGCAGATAAAAAGCAGAAGAAGTTGGCCGTGGCGCAGGAATGGTCAGCCAGCTCATCTCGTATGGGCATCCTTATGGAGTATACGATACTGCTCCGCTTGGCTTTGAGGATATAACTTTAATCCCGGCTACGGCGCGATGTCAAAAGGCCCGAGGACGGCACTTCCACAGCCGATCTCTTCTCTGGTCCTTCCGCTGTCCGCTTCGTAAGATCCCTAGCGAGGCCATTCACGTCGTGGCCCGCAACCGGGCGAGTGTATCGGGTGGTTGGACTGCTGGTTGTGGAGACGAAAAGATACGCTACGCCCAAAGTCTAGCGGATCCTGATTCACGGCCCGCGCAAATCTAGGCTTTAGTTCCTCAAAAACAGAACCGTTCCCAGTGCAGTGTTTAAATTGAACTCTAATGTAGCCATTTTCTTCAATGTTGCAAAAGATGATGGACAGCCGGCTGAGGAAAATAAGCACTAAAGTCGGCCAGAGGAGACAGACGGAATTTCTGGCCCGCACGTAATATTAATAGCCCCAATATCAACCAGGATGATAGTCAAGGTTACATTCATCGTACTTAAATTAATTAATAATGCGAGACCCCCCGCTTACCACACACGGGATGGCTTCGGATCCTTCTTAAATCTCACCTTTCATTGTCTGTCCTTTTACCAATGCCTTGTCTTTCTTTGAACCAGGGCTACAAACATAGAAGGATCGAGAAGATCCAAAAGCAAGATATGTCGGATCCTCTGGCTTACTCACTCCGCCGAGTGAATTCACTTAAACCTGGCACTCCCCCACTTGTTAATTATTTCCTGTCTCTGTCTCCCTGATGACGCCCTTTGACCATGCCAGCGTCCGAGCCATCCAACGACGCTTATCAGTGTAATTCCTGCTTCAAAACCTACCAACGACGTTTGTCTCCGCCGTTTGTTGAGTCTCCATCTTCTTGCATCTGAGCTGATGTCTGGACCGATGGTTCCCAGGTGACCTTCTCTTGCGCCATCGACGCCGGTGTCTGCGGTCGACCAAACCCAAGGTACGCCGGAAAGCGTGCAATGCCTGTGTGCAGGCCAAGACCAAATGCTGCTGCACGCAACCGACCTGCTCGCGATGCGCCAAACGGGGCGTCCGTTGTGAATACGTGTCCATCGCCAACACAGCAGCCTCGATTCCCTCTGATTCTTCCGACTCCACCTCCTCCCCGTCGGCCAGAGATCATCCCAGACCCGACGAAACCCGCGTGAGCACGACCGACTTCCCGTCGCTATGGAGCCCTCGGAGCACGCTGGACGGTCCCGGCGATGACAGCTTGGACTCGTGGAGCTCCCAGAACTTCATCTGGACCCTGGATGCCCTCGATCTCCCGCCGTTGCCCTCGTCAGCAAGCGTAGTCGACGAAGTCACCCCGGGCCTGACGCCGGCAGTCCCGACCAGCCATCCGAGCTTCACATTTCCACTGACCTCGGCTCCGCCGCCACAGTCGTACAGTACGCTGGTCGGGGAGACCTCCATAGCGCTGCCAGGGCCAGGGATTCCCAATGTCTCCACCCTGACCGATCTGGGCGGCAGTCTTGATGTGCCCGTGCGGCCACCCAATTACGTCAGTCTGCTTGCACAGTATCCGAGACTCTTGCTTCAGGACGATTTCTATTGTCCGTTCGTGCACCGCACCCTGTTCAACGAGCATGTGGCGGACATGACCATACTGCCGCACACATCCATGGCCATCTGCTGTGGAAGTGCCTTGGGCGCCAGGGATGCCGCCGGCTACGTCAAGCGAGCCATGGACGCGCAACGACAATGCCTGATCGAGTCGTATGTAAGTAAGGCCTTTTGTCGATCATCTCCTCGCGTGCTGACAGGCCAGCCCACGTACCTCTGCATGGAACAGTGGGACGCTCTGCACGCAATGCTCCTATACGAGATCCTCGAGATGGGCATCGCGTCCGTCGACGAATCCGAGAGTTGGAGACGAAAGCGCAGCACCAAAGGGCTAAAGTCGCCCTTCCTCTCCAAAATGACCCAGTGTTTCTCGCGGTCGTACCTCGAGACGCACGATACGGCCCTCCTGCCCCCGGCCGACGCCGACACCGACGCCCCCGACTCCTGGGTCAAATGGGCCGTGGCCGAAACCGCCCGCCGCACCATCTTCCTCGCCAACATTGTCAATTTCTTCAGCAACCGCGATCTCAACTGTGGGCGTCAATCGCCCTACTACGAGCCCCTCAACGACGAGCTCATCATGAATATGCCTCTACCCTGCGATCAAGCGCTGTGGAGCGCCCGCACCGAAGACGAATGGCGCAAGGTTGCGCCTGCGTCCCCTATCTCTCCTGGAATCACTGACGCTTTTTCAACCTTGGGCGCTACTGGTGGTGCCATTCCCGTGGGAGAGCAGCTGCTGAATCACCAGCAGCAACCCTCGCTCAAGACGCTTTTGTCCAAGTTCGCCAAGGACGATCTCCGGGCGAATTGCGTGACGAATGCGGGGTTTGCCGACTCCAATGAGCTTCGGTCGTTTATCATTCTCTGTGCGCTGGAGCAATTTGCGTGAATTAGACGGGGTCAAACTCAACGATGTACTGCGATTGATGTATCGCTGACGATTGATGTGACGCTTAACGGGTCATAGGCGTTTTCACTGCGTTTGCTTAGTCTATGCCAATTAAATGGATGGTACAAATTGTTTCATACGTCCATCACTGCTCCAATAGCGGATCCCGGATGTGTCTCTCATCAACCGCATCGACCGTTGCGTAGCCTTAAGCCGACGCACTGGTAAGCTGGCTGCGTCACAGCAGCTCCGCTCTCCTCGGTCTCCGTCAGACTTGGCCGCGAGATGAAACGGCTTCACCCGCCTTGACATGTTCTCCCGACACCACGCATCAAGTGGCTTCACCAGCAGCTCCGGATGGAGGTGCCCGAAGAAGGTAGCCCACTCCGGATTGCTTCAGGTATGCGAAACCGGTATCGTGGAGGCCGCAAGAGTCGGCGGCGCTCCTCAACGGAGATAAGCGTGCTGTGGCCAGATGCATCCTTTTCTGGGGCTGGGAAGTCACTGACGGGCAGCTCGACGGTGGCGTGGTTGACCATGTGGAAGATTGATGTTGTACTTCATAGGAAATCCTGATGACATCAAACGAGTTCATGACGACTGGCGATACAGCTTCATCACACCAGAGCGTTGCAGAATCCGCACGCTTCAGTCCGATTCATGCTTCAGTGCATTGCAATGTATGAGTTGAACAGTGTCTTTGACTGCGGAATTCCATCGGCTTGTGTTGCTGCCACCGGAGTTCGTGGTCGTCAAAACGACCACGAACTCCGGCGACGTGAGGACTCCGCGAGCATAGACGACGGAGACATGCGAAACCGACAAGAACAATCAGATACGCATTTGTCAGCGTCCGTAACATTCTGCTTTCCTCCGTCCTGCAGTCGTTGGTATAACTACGCAAGGAATGGCACGATGCGTCCGAGTCTGGCTGTCCTCGGTACCCTCCTCTTTCAGATGGTCTTTAACGACATGATCAGAGCTACCGCCATGAAAACCACCGCAGCCACCGCATTTCGCCTCTTCGGTCTTGGTGCCGGAGGGAGGGGCCATATCCTCCTTGGCCAGAGTATCGCCGTCCAGCCTGACGCCGGCGCGCACGACAGCGACACGCCTCGCGAGGCTTGGGGACTTAAGTCCGGGCTCTACACGCCCCGGCAACTGGTCGAAGCGTTTGCGCCGTTGCTGGACACGGTCGTCTTCCGTTTGGGTCCAGATCCGCCGAACGTCCGACCAGCGCGGGCGCAACTGCTCGACAACCTGGCCGCCAATCTCGACACCAACACCCGAGAAGCCACGCTGCGCTTCCCCGACGCCAATCTAGATGACTCGCGCGAGGAAATCGCCGAGCAGGCGAAACGCATTGGCCGGACGCTCGTTCAATACGCGCGCAACCACACGGACGGACCGGTCAATCCCGACCTCTACCTTCGCAGCCCCTGTGAAGGCCATCTCCTCATCCCGGCCAACGTCGACCTCATGTTCGGTCGGCGCAGCCAGCCGCATCTGATGCAGCTGTTCAACGAGTACATGCATCAGATGGTCCTGCTGCGGGACGCCCTGCTGCCGTTCAAGAACTACGAGGATGTGATCATCCCCGTCGATGGCCGCGCCGCTCGAGGCATCCGGCATCTGGAGTCATCCCGGGCCGAGTTCCTCACCAACCTCCTGACCAAGGAGGTCACCCAATCGGCAATCATCAAGCACGCGCAGGCTCTCCTCGCCCCGGGTCTTCTCTCTCGTTCTGCTGGCAAGAAGGCCAACCCTGGCTACGGCTTCCAGTATGCCCACGGCCTGGTCCTGCCCGCTTTCCTGGCCGGTGGACCGACTCCGTTCCATCTCCTCCAGTACCTCCCCGCCAAGCTAGTCCATGACGCAACCGACGTCATCTTCGACTACCGGATCCAGGACTACTATCTTGCGCCTCGTGTGGAGATCCCCGCCGGAACCGAGGAAACCCCGGCATACGCCGCGGCCAACGGCGGCACAGCCGCACTCGGCGTCCTAAGCACCAGCATCGCAGCCACCTCATCGTCTGATATGGTTCGACAGCTGGAATTACAACTCCAGCTTGACAATGGCCAATGCGTCTCCGTCGATCTGGGACAGGTCGCGCGCGGCCATCGCTACGCCTATCAGGCATGCACGTCCAACGGCAGTGACTCCAAGTCCGCAACATCAGCTACGTCCACCGTAGTCCACGACGCGGCATCCATCCTGGAAACCGGAAACGGAGACAGTCTTGTAACTGCTCATGGCGGGCTGCATGTGATTCCTGTGCACGACCCGGTCGTTGCTCTAGCGCTGCTGGGGAAGATCTACCCGGGAAACGTAATTCTTCTACCGAGGTCGGAAAGCCTAGCGCAAGCCGAGAAGGCTGGCAAGGGACTGGAGCCAAAGTTTGTGCTTTGGGGGGTGGAGCGAGGTGGTTTACGGGGGAGGTTTACTTCGCCTGCCTCTGTGCTAGTGGCTGATTTACAATAGTGGTAGTGGTACGCAGGCAGAGTGTATGACTTAACCTTATTACTATAATTGCAGTGATGACTCGATAAAGTTCAGCAGCCAATCTTGTTTTGCGAGTTTAATTCCTGATGTTGCGCATCGAAGACTTGGCTCGAATCGATGACATCACAACATCACCTCCTGTATAGATGACATCATCATGCCGTACCACCTATTTAAAAGCCTCACGTTCTCTGTTCTATATCCTATCTTCATCAACACAACAACATTCAGACCAATCTCTACTATTCAATACAATCTACAACTCAATACACAAACACAATCACAATGGACTCCATCAAGCAAGGTGCCAACTACGTCAGCGAGAGCGTCCAGCAGGCCCTCCACGGCAGCAAGAAGGAAGCCAACAAGGACATCGCCAAGGATTCCGATGCTCCCATTGGCACTCGGTGAGCTCTCTTCCCTGCAGGATCTTGCAGCCGTTCTAATAATGTCCAGTGCCTCTGCCGCCAAGGATGCCGTCAAGGACAAGGCCCACGAGAATAAGCACGACGCCAAGGCCGAGGCTCACAAGCAGGAGATCTAAACGTGGGTTACTTCTTTATCCGTTGTCTTGGGATTTATTGATCTGACTAGAACTAGTTTATCTTGCGAATGACACCCCACGGATGACGAATTCATGTATTTGATATGATGTTGTATCTTAAGTGATGGCCACTGGTGATACCAAATAAGAATGAATTATATTAATCAATACACACAAGAACTGTGAACGTAGTGTCTAGATATGTCCATCAACATCATTAGCATCCTGTACGCTGTAGACAATCGTAACATTATAGCAACAAAAATAAGAAGTACATGAGTCATGACCTGCAGCTACCAGGCACACGGCCGCGGTCCTCGACACGCCAGAACCATCCTCACCGGCAGCGACGCCGACACATCCACCCCCCATCCGATCCATCTGCAGCAGCTGATACGGCGTCTGCGACAGAGCATACTCCCCGTTGCCGCGCCACATGGACTCGGGCGCTCCCGAAATCCCTCTAGCTAACCGCCAACCATCACTGCTGTGATGATGGACGCCCTTTGTGACCACCCCGCTGAAAAAACCAGCCTATTATTAATGAGATAGCTACCTTTCTGTGGGATGGGTTTAATGTCTTATCATTATCATCCAGCGTTAAACATGCTCTCTCCTGGGCTGGCTAGACAAACGGAAAGCCCAGCAGAAAGCAAACGAACAGAACCCTTAACTGCGGGATTACTACCAGCATAAACCATCCAAGTTTTGATCATATCACCTAGTTTTCATTTATAAAACTGGATGTGATAAACTGGTGCCATATAGATGGACTAGTTGGTCACTGCTCGATGCAACACTGGTTTAAGCGTCTAAATTCCATTAGGGCTAATGCTACCAGCTTCTCCAGCACTGTGAGAGGTGGCCGGAGCCAAAATCCATGCTTGTTATAGATAACGCATCTTTCTATCATTAAGACTGGGTTATGCCGTTGTGTTCTGACACAGGAGTTAAATTACTATACCTGCCGCCTTACTCTCTAGATTCAACCCTATTAAGGTCTTTGCTAGCTGAAGGCTTACATCGAGAAAGCTTGGTCAGCGTATGAAGAGGATCATGATCAAGGGTTTCATATAAACTGCCATTCTTCCCACCGCCCGCTTTCATTTCAGGTACTCGAGTTGGTATAGAGATTATTGACATGGATAGCTCTTATCTGCCCGTGCGACCTCGCCATTCATTGACCCGGAATATCCAATCACGAACAAGAGCTTCAAAAACACTATTCTCACTCTCATCGATAGGAAGGCTATGCGTACCACGATCCAAAACAACATAGGTTGATCGTGGATAGAGCTCCAGCAAGCGAAGGCTGTCTCGATAGCCCACGGTCTCGTCTTGCCGACCACACACAATAAGTGTGGGTGCAAAGAACTTAGCGCCTTCATTGTCCAACGAAAAAGACAGCTGATATCGTTGTGGATCTGCTCGGATCGGATCTAGCACCTCATTGTCTGCTGCTTTCTCCGCTGGAAGAAGAACCTCCTCGTATTTTGCCTTTAAAGCTTTAACATAAGCAGGCGTTTGAACGAGAACGTTTCCAAGGAGTGTCCTGTCTTCGGGTGATATGGTCGACATGAGTTGCTCGTTTGCAACCAAAGGTTTGAAAGCATCGAGGTCGCGCATGCTGTCCTTTGGCTCAATAAGCGGTACCCGTAGTAGTAAACCATCGACTTGCTCATTATATTTGTGAGCTATGGCTCGTGCAAGGTAGCCGCCACATGATGAGCCAGCGACTAAGAATCTCGACTTCCCAAGTCGAGAATCAATGAATTGCACCAGGCGAAGGTATATCTCGTCCAGATCCTTGACATTGTTCGCGGGTGTTGTGCCCATGCCAGGAAGGTCCACATAAATCCGGCGAAATCCTGGGATTTTGTTGAAAATCGGCTCAAAGTCTCGCTGCTCAACTCTTCCCTCCATCTGGTATCCATGAATGAACAAAACAGGAAGTCCTTCACCGATTTCATGTGCAGATAGAATAGATTCCATTTTGTCACTAGGTAGTGAATCTATGAACGTATGAGGAGCAGGAACCAGAGAAGTTGATTACAGGGAATAAATTCCTCAATCACAATCACGCCATCTTATAGTGTTGGCAAAGTGCTGCTTACTCCTAATTAATGTGAAGCAACAGAGAGAGAAATTACCAGAATGTCAACAGTCGCTTAGTTTGCTCAGTTTGCTCGGTTTGCTTAGTTTGCTCAGTTTGCATCGAATGTTAGACTTCGAGTCACCAGACTGTCGGTATTCTTTACAAGCAATAATACGGAGGCCGCCTAAGCACCATGCAGCTGTGGGGATTTATAGGTGCATCCGGTCTCCACAGCAAGGGCGAGGCTTGGTCTTTTTCGGTGGACATGCTTACTTTGAACAAATCTCCGTGACATGGCATTGTGGTCCTTTAGACTGTCTCTGAAGTCTGATCACCTTGACCTGTTTCACACCCGGGTCCCAGCTCCCGCCCATGCTGGTCGGATGCTGGTTCATCCCCGCGGGGATACTCTGGTACGGCTGGTCCGCCAAGGTGGGGGTGCACTGGACCGTGCCGATCCTCGGGACACCCTGGAAAAGCTAGACGAGACCCGTATATACTAGAATAGGTTTGTAACCCTTTTGACCCTTAATCTATGTTTATAGCTCACTGGTCGCTCCTTAAGGGATATTCCCAGCACATCAGTGTTAATGCAGTGCAGCAGTGGAAAAGGTCTCGGAATTAGATGAGATGGTCTGTTTCTTGTATATATTTTTTGTCTGGCGGTGCGGTATCCGTCATAGGAAGAATGGCCAACACTGCCGGGGTATTGAAACAAGAGCTCGCTCGAGTCATTCTGCAATCTTATTATTACGGCGTCTGGGCTAAATAGAGAGATAATTGTTAAGGTGCAAGATGTGAGGGAATAGCCCCCTTCTACTCTGCCCAAAGAAGGCAGGCTGGTGATTATATGTAGGTGATTGCCATTGTCGCTAAAGAGAAAGGGCTAGAACTCGATCAGCGGGAAGAAGAACATGTAGCATCCAGTGTGCATAGCTGTATTTTGAGCGAAGTAGGATCCTTCCTTCCTGCTCGACTGAATTCCTTGCGATTGAAGAGGTTTTGGCGGCCTGGTGGTGGTTTGAATTGCTTCGGTATGGCCGAAACGCGAGAGGCTAGTCGTTTGCACTGGCGGCTTGCTTACCGATTATGTTGAGAAATATTTATTGTCATGCGACCGACTTTAGGGGGGATTGATAGGCACCAAATCCCAGTAAGGCCCACAGTACTTACAATCCACGTGGACCACAGTATGTAACCATCTATGTCCCGACCCATCTTGCTTTCCTAGTCATTGGATTCGCTAGATTACAGAACTCGATGCTTGTTAATGGTCTACTGACGTTTCAAAGTGTTGGTTGTCAAACCGCTGGTGAGGCTAGAAGCCGGGATAAGATGGTTCGGTATATTACAGGGCTCCTTCCAGATGCAAGCCACTGGGTTGTCAGTCCCTGATTACGTGAAATGCAATCCACATATATACCTAGTAGGACAGGTCATGATTTACATTGCTCCACACTTAAAAGTTTATATTGGCACCTGACAATGAGTCAACACTATTAGTTGCTACGGTGTCGGCTCTCAGTCTCCTTTAGTTCATTAGCTTATTCGTAACATATAATAAAATGTTTAAGGAGATGAAGGAAATGGAACGTGTTTGATACGACATACAGACAGGACACAGCTCTAAGACTAAAGTTAGGCTTGGTTCAGATCAGCTTTGGGAATCTGATCACAATCTAACTAAAAAGTACTACACAAATGACCTTATATACATGATTTAGTTAGAAGGAACTATAGCAGGTTTTGGAGGCCAATCCACTCCTTTTTCAAATTCTAAATCTCATGTTCATGCGGTCTAACTCCGCCAGTATATTATCTCTTCAGGATCACTGTTTCTCTCATGTTAAAGTTCCATAACTTCATACACATAAACGATTTACAGAGACTTAAAGATAGTTATCAGCATCCACCAGCTGAATATACTTCATTTGATACAATTCCCAGCTTTGTTATTCTATGAGAGATATGCGGTCTATCCGTCAACTTGTCAGGAGTTATGACCCGAACCAATATTCACCGTCTTGGAGAGCTGGACTTGCGATTGCATTGATGGGTACGTAGAAACTATATATACTTAACCTTTTGAGATGCTAACGATGCCTTGCCAGCTGCAGTAGCATTGCTTATATCGATATCTGTCTTCATATGGCTACGCAGAAAATCCGGGCCAAAATGCATTTTGCGGTTGTTCACAACAGTACAACAACCAAGACAGAACAAAAATCTCAAGAAACAGCCAAGAGCTCAGAAGGAGATCGATACTGAGAACGGTCCCCAAAAATGGGGTTCGGGTGTGAGGTGTACAGCTACACCGGCCCTTGATAAGAAGCTTCCTCCTCTACCGCCCCGGTCATTTTCTGAAGCATACACGGTGGATTCTTTGATGTCCTACATTGAGGCGGAACATGACGTGGGAGTCCACGATATCGATGCAGTAATCGGTCAATGGAACAGTTTTACTGCAAAGCGCAGTAATTTACCCAATCGTCTAAGCACCAGCACTCGGTCTTCAGGTGCTTTACCGTCCTTCTACCTGGCTGAACTTGCGACCACTGTTGCGGAAGAGACTCATTATCCGTATTCTCTGCCATCGCCCCTACCAGTACTACGTGGCACTGGTGGAGGTAGAAGTGGACGCAAACCTCCATCGCAGGCAATGATGAAGCAAACAAGTCGATGTCAACTGAATCGAATGAGATTCAACAGCTTATCGATCCAAATGCCCATAATACCCCGAAATGCTTGCCAAAACGCAGTCGTCTCCCCTCTATCCCCTTCCAGAGTGCGGCCAATGCATCGAATTTCTACGTTTGAAGTTAAGTCAGCTCCTTTGGAGAACAAAACCAGGCGTGCCATCACGGGCATGAAATTGCCTTCCAGGGACCAAATAACTTCCATGTATCCATATAGTGGGCTACGGCATTCAGCAAGCCCAGAAAAAGGTGAAGAAGACTCAAAAAATTTATTGATGAGTGCTACAGCGGCTCGTCATCGTCGTCATTTGTTTCCAACGTTACGCGCAACCCGAGATTTGGAGGAGGGAGAAGTTTAAGCATTGCAGAAATACGAGACCTTTGTATGCATTTTCTTTGTAACTATGAATTGACTAATAGAGTGGATGTTCCCGCATGAGTAGACAGCATCTATGGCTGCACTGCCCTACCTTTTTGCCCCTCTTTGGCCCCTTTCCTTTTCTACTTTCCAGTCTGCTATTTTATTCAAGAATTGTAGTTGATTTATAATGGGGTCCCTCGACACTTACAAATGCTTTACCTAAGTGTTTTATAGTATAGGACGTCATATGGAATTATTGCTAGGGGGACACCCGATATTACAAACCATCCTTTGTGCGCCAAGAAACCGTCGGCCCAGCATAACTCGTATCTGGTTATCAAAGGGATTCAGGGACCAGACTAACGCATTGGGAGATGGTTAGCTTCATTGTAGAGTACCGAACGTGTTTGACTAAATCCACCTGCTTGAACTCTGTTGTTCCCTTAGGTACCGTACCGAGGATAAAAGAATGGATCCACAATTCAAACTGGATCGTAGTTATCCACTCATTATTCACCATGGAGCGAGACTTATTTCCGTTTCTCCACTCCGTGTAGTATCGTGGGTTCTACCACCTGCCTAGTCTACGGAGTATGCCTAGTGGCATTTTTCTGGTGAAACTTGCACTAAACCACTCACAGTTGGATTTGATTTCAGTATTGCAGACTTTGCGGTTATGCCACTCTATACTATATAGGAGCTCTGTAAGATAAATAGGAGCCCCTGACTGAGTTTGGTAATGGCCAGCCCATGGACTGTGGGTCCTGTGAATGAATGGGATTCCTCCTCGGTTCCTGTATAGACTGTATGTTGTAGCCCGTGATTTTGTTGTCCCGAAGCAGTGTAGTCATGACTTTATCCTGGAACTTCATTATATTGTACTGCAGTATTGAGAGACTAGGCCGTGTGATCATTGTTGGCGTGGGGTGAGTTGAAAGAAGTTCTCTAATGTTTGCGTCTTCTCTCCTGGGACTGGTCTATCGTGCCCGCTTTCCTCGAAAACTGAGCAACCTTCATCATAGAGCAAGCAAACGGCCTTTACAGCGCTTGCCATTCATGGTCTCCAACTTTATCATAGGCCTTCCTTACTTTTGTGCATCAACCCCACTCCTTTCCTTCTATCTTGTACTCTCACTCTGTATAGTCCTAATCTCAATTCTCTTGCCCATTGTCGCCTACTGGCTGTCAACTTCCACCCCACCTAGGCACAGTTGCCTTTCTCAGATGGGTCATGGGCTCTTCCTCGATCTCGTGGCAGCTTAATCCCTTGTTTCCTTTGCCACCTCCATCTTCCCCCACTTCGGTATCTTGCTTGAACTTATCGCCTTTAGAAATGGCCTCTGGAGCGAGCGCTGGTTGATTCTTTGTCCCCCAGACGATCCCTAACTTGTTCTGAAAATATGTTTCTATTATATTGATTATTAAGTACGCCGCGTTAGCAAGTTGCAGGTGGGTGTATTGCTAATCACCCCTAGGCATACCGGCTTCCGGGTATGGTGGCCATTGAGCTCTTGTACAGAATGTATCCTTTCCTCAAAGTCCGTCTTCAACGACTGAAAAATGTAAAAGACAAGGACCGCTGGTTCCAACGAGCTACTCCTGCCACCCGTTTCAAAATCAGCTCGTTTATTACCGCTCCCACAGATACCGGATCCCAAGGGTATTGAGGCAGAACACTCATATGGACGCACAGGGACCAGAAGATAGAACAATAAATCTGAAACATGAGGTTACATAAGTGCCGAGACTCCACAAGCTCATCATTCGCGAATCTGAGCTTAAATTCAGAATAGTCTGTGCAGATACGAGGAACCAATGGAAATTCATCGCTTTCGCCGACCTTAGCATCATTGTCAGCACTTTACCAGAGATTGATGTTGTTCAATGCATTTGAATACCCTCCAAGGTCACGCCAAACTTACGACCTCTCTACAACTATATCATGGCGAACTGCTACAAGTCCACAATGCATGATTGTCCTTGTCACATAAATAATATTGTCCTCACTTCTGGGAGATTCAGTTGCTTTGTCGTGTGAGTTGCAGGCGCCATGCCACCAGAAATTACAACAAAAATAAGGCCACGCCACGAAAGGCGCTAAGCCGCACCATTGAGAGCAGCAAAGGCGCCCCCAACCCCAGCATGAGACTGGGACATGTAGATTAGATAGTAATTTATTAAGTAACTGAGTTGTATACAATATTGGCAGGTACTCTATCTGAGTATGTGGTGGATCGCGAATACTACTCTGTTCCTCGGTTGGGAGAAGTGAGGCATTTTGCGAGAGCTTAGTACTAATGTTGGTGACTGGGCCAGTCCCGCCACTTGTACCGACTGTAACGGTCGTTCAACAGATCTCCTAGTCTACAATATGGCGGTTTCGAGCTAGGGGTGATGCATTTTGATCTAGGTAGTATTGCAGAAACACACTGATGGTTGCTAAAGTGTACCAGGCCAAGTGCACCAACGTCACAGCCGCCAAGAGACCACAAGTACTTATTCTCCTTCTGACAGCTCGACATTCTGATCACTGACCGGCTGAAAGACATATTTTTCTCCTAGCGATTCAAAGGTCTCAACAGCCACACAGGTCACACGGCGCATCTTTCTGGCCGAAGAGACTGCCCAGAAGTTCCAATCCCGCAGGTTTCCCTACCGCTGGAAACTGATAAAGTGAGAGAATAAAGTGTGGTGGAGTTTCCGTGTTGAGAGATGTCTCAGGTTATCTCTGTTACATCCATTAAGGATCCAGATGCGCATCTTGCATAGCTGTGTTATGTCTGGAGCTTCTTTCTTAGTGCTGAGTGATGTTACTGATTGCTAATTCTAATTAATCTGAGACCTGCAGGGATTGAGATGGAGACGGAGGTTTGTAGTAAGAAATGGAATCTCAATCTTCTTTTAGTACTACTAGACACAGTGCAATTGCTCACTGTTGATTCACTGGCAGCTGACCTTGAACCCACCAGAGATTAATGTATCTGAATAATTTCCTATATAATCCTCCATTGCCTTTACTACTCATCTTATCTTCCTACTCTTTTCCTTTCATCTCACTGAACACTTCAGTTCTCTCACTGTAAAAGTGTTCAACAGTCTCTTACAGACTAGTTCCTGTCTTCCCTCCTCTTCATTCTTTATTGATTTTTGTGGGTGGCTGTGGCACAGTCCGACTTTCCTTTTGCTGAAGTAGAGACACACACCTCAGCAAAGAAAAGCTTCTTTTTCTTAGCACAACTGAACAGTCTCACTGATTTCCTGGCATCTCTATAAAGGTATTGTTGTATTGCTTTCTGTTCCTTGTGCTGCTCTTCAACAATTCTACTCTTGCCCTTATAAAGATATTGTTGTGACTCATCTCTATTGTCTGCTCTGCACTGAAATGTATGGAGATGGAACAGAGCAATCTTGTTTCTTCTAAGTGATCGTGATATGTTGCTGCTTATGGATCTTTTATTTCCAAAAATCCTAGCCTTTTCTTTCTCCTTGAAATTATATATATATATATATATATATATATATTTTCCTCTTCAGGGTCCCCAACTTCGAAATCATCTGGTACTCCAGAAAGCAGAGCAGCCACTCCTTCATTTCAGCCGCCAAACAGCTTACCTGAGATTCTAGAACAGGCTATATTCCTTTGTCGAAACAATGTTCTTCAAGTCCGGTCTCCTAGCTGCTGCCATGCTTGGTGTTTCTGTTGTTGAAGCCCACATGAAAATGAGCAAGCCTACTCCCTACAGCGCCTCAAGTCTTAACAACTCTCCTCTTGCTGCTGACGGCAGTGACTTCCCCTGCAAGCTGCGGGACAATGCCTTCCAAGCTCCTACAGAGGAGACAGTGGTTAGAATTGGTGAAGTCATGCCCTTAACCTTCGTTGGCAGCGCCACCCACGGTGGTGGTTCTTGCCAGGTCAGCTTGACGAGGGATCTGCAGCCTTCTAAGGATTCTACATGGATGGTCATCAAATCTATTGAAGGTGGATGCCCTGCCAATGTGGACGGTAACAGGTCAGGTGGTGCTGGGGGTGCTGATCCAGACACCTTTAACTACACTGTCCCTGAAGGCATCGCGCCCGGAAAATACACTCTAGCTTGGACCTGGTTCAACCGTATTGGCAACCGTGAGATGTATATGAACTGTGCTCCTATTACAGTCACCGGAGGCACCACTAGTGGCTCTGCCAAGCGTGATACAGCTCCTGTTGCTGAGAAGGTCCAGGTTGAGAAGCGCTCTCCTAACCTCCCTGCCATGTTTATTGCCAACATCAACGGCTGCACCACAACCGAGGGCACTGATATCCGCTTCCCTAACCCCGGCCCTTACGTTGAGCACGACGGCAATCCAAGCAAACTCCAGGCCTCTGGTGCAGCAGCATGCACTGGCACTCCCTCCTGGACTGTCAGCGCTGGCTCAAATCCCAGTGTCAGCGCTAGCGTTGGCGCCATCGTCAGTGCTACTGCTACTCCCTTCGCTGAGCCTGCGTCTAGCAGCAGCAGCGAGCCTTCTGAGTCCCAAGGCAGTACCGCTATCTCTGCTCCTACTTCAGCCGTTATCGTCCCTTCGCAGCCTACGGAATCCGTTGCACCCTCGTCCGTGTCTTCCGCCGGTGACTCCGGATCAGGTTCTTCTAACTCTGGAGCTTTGACTGGCGCCTGCCGCCCTGAGGGAATCTGGAATTGCATTGAGGGCACTTCTTTCCAGCGTTGCGCCAACGGCGAGTGGACCCCTACTCAGCATATGGTGGCTGGTACCCAGTGTACTGCTGGTCAGACTGAGGACTTCACCATCTCAGCTACAGCTCTGAAATCTCGCATGATGAACGCCGTGCGCCACAGAAAGCATGCTCACGTTGATCGCTACTAAATTCACGGTTGATGGTCACCAAGAGAGGGTGTTTTCATCTGCTGGTTACAGTGACAAGCAATGATCAACTCCGACAGATGGGGAGATCAGGCACTTATATGGGTGGCAGACGCAGCCACCATGATAAGCAGAATTAGTGGTTTGGGTTTCTTTCTTTGCTAGTTTGCTGTGTATACCGTACAAGGCTATGGGTGTATAGTTGCATAGATAACCTGTATTTCTCCATTTACATGGTAATTATGGTTTTTTAGGTGCCCAATATGATAACATTCTGTTACTGTTGTTGTTGTTGTTAATTCATGCACAGACCCCTCGCTCAAGTGATATGCAGGTAATAACTAGAGCTGTCTTCGCGTATCTAGTTACCTTGTTTCAACTCATGCAGTCGAACTTAGAGGCTCGCCTATTGTCACTGGTAGCCTATTGGCTCTGGCTCTGTTATGCTGCCTCTCTTTTTATATATGTAGTATATTTTTATACATCCGTTAATATAAAGCAGTAAGCTTAATAAATAATCTATGCGAAGATCTCGGTAGTGAGGTTGTGAAAGAGAGTCTTAGTATGTACTAGTTAAGGAATTTTGAGAATTACTTAACTAGTGGCTAAACTTGTAATTGCATGCTTTGGTGGAGATGCTGTCTTGGCAATGATGGGCAAAAAAAAAAAAAAAAAAGAGAAGAGAACAAAAAATTAGGACTGACCGTGGATCGAACACGGGACCTCAAGATATTACAGTACACCTTGCGATGTTATTGCAATCTCACCCTCTACCACTGAGGTACCAGTCCTTTTGTTGTAGGTGGCAAGAAAGTTAAGATTTATATCCAGTCTTGCCTCTTAGTTGGATCAACCTCAACTCGACAGGAACGTAGTTTTGAGATTTATCACTTGGTCATATTATGAGGATTACGCGAATTTAAAAGGCATTTAAGTAAAATATTGAACTAGATGTGAAAGGTATACTTCTAGCATCATTATCCTTAGTCATTGCGAGGGAAGGGAAGGGAATCGTCTATGGCTTTTCTCTCTGTAATTATATATCCTCTTTTCACCCCTGCCGGCCATGGGTTCACTACACATGAAGTGAGATAGTGCACACAGTTCTTGATGATCAATATGGTCATACTATGCTCATGATACTTCTAAAGAGCCACATAACCATCTTAAGATATAATCTAAAGTCCTGATCCCCTGCATACTCAGCACCAGTATCAATCTTCAGGCGGATAAACCACAATCTTATCCAGATCTGCCCCCTTATAATCAAATCCATTGTACAATCCTCCGACAGTAATGGTATTATGCGAGCCCTTCTCCAGCGTCAGCAGCAGCGGCGCCGAAAGAATGACGCTCTTGTGCGTATCCCTCTGATAAAGCGTCTCCACGTTCGAGGTATTCCCGTTGACCACGACGCTGCTGATGCGGCGGAGCTGCCATGAGCCACCGATGCGATCGGGTGAGCCTCCCGCTGGTCCTGTTAGCTCTGTTGCTGGTTCTGACTCATAGGGTATACTTACGTTGGTCGCCGAAGCCCATGTCATCGATGTCTATAACATTAGCGTGGAACTTGATAAGTTGAAGAGGACATACTCTGGTAGTAGAAAGACACCCATTGTGGCTTGCCAGTTCCCTCAATGCCCTCAAAGGTGACCGTGCTGTCATTGCCGTAGATCCCCGTCAGGATGACACCGTCGGTTGCGAAGTTCTACTCGATTAGCATTACAACCGCGCTGTGAATGATGGCCAAAGGACATACAGCTTCCTGTTTATACGCATTGCCGTTCGTCTTGGCCTTCGCAGCAGTGTATGCCTTCCCGCGGATAGCTTTCCATTCCCCGGTTTTGCTGGGTCCGTCAGTACTCCTTCATCCAATCAGTTGACGACATACACGTTGAGGTCATAGACGTCATTCCAGACAAGGTCGAGTGTTTTCTTCGTCTCGTCGATATCCATCGGAAGCCAGATGTACCGGCTTTCCCAGAGGGAGTTGGAATCCCACTGTACTCGTTATCTTCCATTCCTCCTGACGAAGGACAAACTTACCTGATCACCAATGTACAGATATGTCGTCTTCTTCGTCCCCTTGATGCGGAGGGAAAAACCAGATTGCGAGTTGAACGTTCGTGTGTTCAGAGGAGCAACCATAAACGGCTGGGACCAGGGACCGCTGAGCGAGTCGGCGCGGAATGCAACGACGTCTTCTGGGTCAGTCATTGCAATTAACGTCAAGGGGGTCCCGCTCACTTACTGTTCGGCCGGTAACCAGTCTTATGGCTCATCAACGCCCAATAGCTCTTCTCCGTTTGGACGATGGTAGGCGCCTCCAGGTCGAACTTCGGAAATCGGTAGACGACCTCCTCCAGCGCGGTGACGTTCTTGTTGTACGCGGTAAGGTAGACATCGCGTCCATACTTACTGTCACCGTTCGAGTAGAGCGCATACGAGCGGCCATCCTTGTAGTCGGTGAAGAGCCCAAAGTCTTGCGACCAGTTGCCCAGCGGCGCCGTGGCATCGACGAAGGTATAGGGGCCGGTGACGTTGTCGGAAGTAGCAAATCCTTGAAGAAGCCATCCATAAGTCGAATTATCCGCATGCCACCACATCTGATGCTCGTTAGAAAGAGGCACACCTAGAGAGGAGGATCATACATGATACTGATTCGACTCCTCACTGTAGACCACCTTGGGACGCTGAATGATGTGCTTGGGGGAGATGAACGGATGTCCCTCAATCGGCTCTGTAAAATAATCAGCCAGAAAGCTTCCAGGAGACCGATTGCCATACTCAAAGCCAGCCCATGAGGCTCCCAGGTCGCCAAATCCTCCGAACTATACACGGAGACACCGCCACCCTCCGTCTGGCCTGCAATCTTGTACTCGCCAAACCACCAGAATTTGCCCGACTTGTCGTCATAGAGAAGCCCGCCAGCGTGTGCATTGACCAGATCCCCGTTGGTATCTCGCCATCGGCCTCCGGGGACAATATATCTGGCCTGTGCCACAGCGGCAAGCAACAGAGCAGAGAACGAAGCAATTCCCCGCATATTGAGAACAATTGACGGTTTGAACCTCTACTGACTCCGGATTCATTATTCTAGAGCTTTATACCCCAGACTTCGTGCAGCCAAGACGGCATCGGTTGTTGCTACCCCGAGATTTGCGGGGGTACAATTAAGCCGTCAATTTAGCCGTTTTTGGCTGGGAATTGTCCTCGATGGTCAATTCAATTTCACGATTGCGAGTTCGATCATACTTAAGGCTTTCCTCTCTGGTGTGTTGTGACGAACAGAAGTACATCAGCGCCGAGTCTTCAGGAAACTTATGGGGTAATTCAGGTCACTTAATTCACCGTGATGGGTATGACAAAATCACACTGGAGACCATTATCATCCAAATAACGGATTCTAGTATAGGAACACCATAGTGTAAGTACCAATATAGCAAATCAAATCTTGGTATATTTCCCTCACTAACAGCTACATTAGAATACTAGTGAACCCGACTAGGTCGTATCAATTTTCCTCTTCTTCGACCCCGAATCCGCACTTCCAGCTTTGGTAAACATGCTATCTAACCTCTGCTGGCCCTTCTCGTGCTTCTCCACCTTGATCTTCTCTGTCGCCAACACCGGCGGCAGCCCTTGAACCCTTTGCTTCGCATCCTCAAGCAGCTCCACCTCCCTCTCGCGCTGCTTCTTCACCGTAGGGATAGACCACGAGTTCGACGACGCAGACTTGTATGCCAGCTTGTACTTTGAGCCCGTCAGATGCGTCTCGTACGTGTTCGCATCCACCTTCTTCACATGCTGATGCGCCACTATCAGCCAGTGGTACTCCGTTCCGACGGGGGCGCCGCTTCTCTCCGGTGCCTTGCGCGCTCGCCGCTTGTTGGTCCTGTAGTCGACCCGCCAGAGATCTGGCTCTTCCTTGGTTTCTTTCCAGGTCCCTGAGTCGTAATTCCAGGTGTGAGAGCCACCTACTGCCATCCCGGAGTATACTTGTCCCTTGAATGACTTGAGGGCGTTGTATCCGCCTGCGTAGCCGGCTCTTTTCTGTTTGTCCGCTTCTTCGACAACGGTGTGCTCGGTTTCCTCTGGCATTTCTTCGTCTGAGTCGAAGGGGACAGTGTCTGTGATCTCGCTCTGCTGGGAGCCGGGGGGACTGGCATGGTCACTGAGCTCGGGCTCGGGCTTGGGCTCGGGTTCGGGTTGGTTTGTTGTCGTGGCATTCTTCTCGGACAGTGGGGGGGATGGGGGGTTTTTTGCTGCCGAAGTGGCTTTTTTCGCGCGTTTTGGAGGCATTCTTGCGATTGATAATTTTGTATAAGCAGAATGAAGTGTACTAAGTATTCTCGGGTGGGTGATGGACTGATGGTTGAGATGTCGCAGGATAGTGTGACGTCACTGATAACGCATCATCTACAACCATCAACAAACACTACGTCTGCATTGAACGATACAGATCGATATTTGATTTCTCTTTTGATTACTATAATATAGGAGCAGTATCTTGATAAGTTATGACCGTAGAGCCCTGGGATGAGCTGATCCAAGTCCGCCTTCGAAATACCCTCGCTCGGTGGCCGTCATGTCTGTGTTGCACGGTTGATTGCCTGAGGCTTCTGACATTACAGGGAGCAGATATGAGAGTAATGAGCACGTCAAAGGTACATACTAAAGACCGAAGGGCCACACCTCAAAAGCCGTACTTTCACTGTGCACAAGCTGTCCACATCTGTTCCTCATCAGAAGCTGCAGCCCTTCCTGCATGCTCCTCTAGTGTTGAGGAATCTCGATTGAGAACCACAGCCAGAAAAGGGCAAGATGTGTCAGGACGCAAATGCACCTCATGCTAACAGCCCAGGACTGCCCAGGAGCATGGCTAGTGAAGAACTGACGGCGAATCTGCCAGAAGATCATATCCTCGTCCAATTCACCTTCTTAGAAAACCTTCTTCAGCAAACAGCAGAGCGTGTTCACGACTCTCTAAACCAGACAGGAGACGGAAACCAATTCATCCTCGTCCTCGGACTGACCAAAAAAGCTTGCATGCGGCTGGACACGAAGAACGTCCCCTGAACGGCATTCCATACCGATTCATGTTCGACGATACCGCCGGCATCCTCAAAATCCTTACTTACGGGCACGATGCTCTGACGATCAACATCACCCGCCTGATCGATCTTTTCTACAGCCGCATGGGCATGGACCCTACCTCAGAATTCGCATGGGGCGGAACCACCACCAGGCTTCTCTGCGCAGGGAGCAAAGGCAAACAGCCCGATGGATGTCTCTTCCCCAAGGCCCGGATCCAGAGAGACCGCGAGGCCTGGCCCACCCTGGTTATAGAAGCAGGTGTGCCTGCGTCACTACCCCGGCTCCGCCACGAGGCAAGATGGTGGCTGCGCAACTCGCACGGAGAGGTCCGGATGGTCCTCGTTCTTGGCATACATCGCCAGAGACGAACGTTGATTATCGAGAAATGGGAGCAGCAGGAGCGCTCACCGATACATCAACGCCAGCTACCACGGCAGCCCGAGGCCTCTCTGCACGCTCACTCTGCGCAGACTATTGAGATAAGGCCTGAGTCTGTTTCTGGTGCTCCTCTTGTTCTTCCTTTTGAGGAGTTACTCGAACGACCCCGACAGGGCAGGGAGACTGATATTGTCCTGGCGGAGGAACAGCTTCGGCTCTGCTTGCGCTGGGTGTGGCAATTGATGGATTGAGGCATTGCTTGAGCTGCGGATTTTGCAGGATCCTTAGCCTACCATTATCCTCCCAATTGCTGACTAGTGAACCAATATTCATCTTTGAAAGTATATCATTCTTACTGATATGTTATCATCACAATCATAGATGACAAAAGGTACAGGTTCAGGCGCCAAGGCACACTAGGGCTGAGTCGACGCCCATGACGTCACAGGCGCTGGAGTGCAAATCAAGATAATAGACGTAGACTAGTAAGGCTACTTTATTCCTGTCATTCAGGCAGAATAATATTTGATCTATTTTGTAATCAATCTAAATATAGTTCGCTCGTGTGTCCGGATCAACGGCATATGTGATCAGCAAAGATGATCAGGATCGACATGCACACCTTGAACTCCACCGAGTACGCAATGTGTCCCATTACATCCGTCAATCTATCTATCCATGAGTAAGGTATGGCAATGCACTTGGGATGATTTGCAGTCATGCCGAACAGGCCACGCCAGCAGTGGCGATTTTGGATATCCGTCCGAACTCGGTTGGACGCAGTGGCTTAGTATGATCCAAGAAGACACAGTGTAGTAGTACATGATGGAGAATGATTGCGTGTCTTATACCAGCCAACTCTTATTGAACAAGAAAGACAAGGAAAAAGTGTATAGCACAATGCACGGGGTATAGGAGGGCTCATTTTCGTCATTATCGTAACATAGGATTTCCAACCAAGTCCCAGCCAACAAGAAGAGTCGTCGTGTTGAGCCAGTCAACTGTCCCAGTAATCCAGAATAACGTATCGTAGAGGTATTCGATATCCGTGTCTAAGGTGGTAGTGTTGGTTGATGCCTTGCATCTGTCTAAATCGTCGAAAGATAACTGAAATATACCAGAACTTGGGTCTGGGACCGTAGTATGGCGATCACGATGTGGAATGCCGTCGCGGCGTGATTAGGATAGTGCTCAGTCTCTTCCAACGCTGCCCTGGCGAGCCGGAATTATCACGGTCTGATCGGTCACTGGTCTTCGTGGCGGAGCGAGGTCGAGTGACGATGGCCTCGTGATCGGCTAGGACATCTTCCAGGCGGACGTCCGAGTCGGAGATGCGCAGGTTATCTGAGGGATCGAGGATCTCAATGAACTTGGATGGCATGTCGCGCATTTTCGAGGGTTGTTGTAGTTGATTATGGATTTGCTTGGGTGCCCCAGTGCAGTGGTGAGTCAATAGATGCGGACTGACAGTGATAAAAGTATGCTCAAAGATGCTGTCAGGCGAGGTAGAAGACATTTGTTCACCGAGAATAAGCGATGATGATGGACAATCGCTGTGGAATACTATTTCCCCAGAAGCAAAGAATGATCAAAAGGGATCCGAGGGTATTCCAGGATTATAAAGACCCGCGTGAGGAAATAAACATTTTTTAAAGATTGATAGCCACACGCTCCCGTGACTGAAGAGGACGGACATGCAGCTGATCATCCCAAATTTGCGGGGTTTAGAATTTTTCCTGCTCTTGCGAATGACCTTAACCCGACACACAGATCTCCCACCGCACTGAGGGCGTCGAGATACTATTGCTCAGCGGAATCACTAGCACGGCTTATGATGATCCCCTACCATGCACAGGTGGGGGTCTGTGTCTCGTACCGGCAACGATCGCCCAGCAATTTTACATTGTGGCTGACCGCAGTAAACCCCAAGTGGGCGCTTGCGGACCAAAATGGCGTACGCTGCTGATGTGGCTGCGCATGAGCAAATAAGGATTGGTGATCGTGTGAGAGGAAGGAGGATGAAGCAGAGCGATGGTTCGTCTGTTTCGGAAGGGTTTGGTGATTATCAATCAGACGTTCCTCAGACACTACCTCTCTAACTTTGCTTGAAGCAGATAGATGTCCGTGTTCTGTGTCCCACTCCATACAACTCCACACCCACACGAACCCCTTAAACGTCCTGTGGTTGAACCAGCGGGTCTTTCCGAGCTGATTGGCAACCTCAACTTTGAGACCGAATATTAGCTGCCCTTTCTGGAGCCTTGGGCCTATCCAGTGTTTGTGCCTTGTAACCGCCATGCGATAACTTTTCGAATGTCGAAACAGTCCTGTTTCATCTACAAACCTGTCCATTACGGATTCGGGATTCATTCCCCAGCGCTAAGAGTCGAGAACGACGATGACCTCATCAGAGAACCCAAGAGAGTCTCGACGCATCCATTCCTCCAGACTGAGACACCGAGACTTCTCGCCCACTTGAAACTTTAAAGCGGTCCCTTCCCTTCCATATCTTGACCCAATGGGACAGATGACGCACATCAACCGCCTGCCTCTATTTTGGCAAAATGCAGGTAACATAACCAACAGCCACTGACTAGGTATATTGTAGACCAGTCGCAGTCATTCTTCATATTGAATTCTTCTGAAACCATAGTCCCTGTCTGCCGTCCTTATGCGGGGCTCAGAGGAATGATATCAACTCCGGTACTGATAGTACATCGTCCACTATTTTTCCACGAATAGATACATTGTAACCGTAGTGCAATTGATTGATCAAGGCTCGTTACGGCTATCTCGGAATTCCTCTGCCAACCTAGATAGGGTACATAAGTCCTCAGAGTAAATGACATCATCATCCAAGCAGCCTACGAGCTATGTAGCCTAAGTCGCTGCAGCCGTATGTTGCCTCTTTGGGAAGACATGAGGCTATCCCGAAAGAAACTATCATTTTGAAGGCAGTAGGTCATTCTAATCTAAGTGGACGAATATCCACGATTATGTCTTTCACAACAGACGGAAGAGCCAGACAAGTAATGATGAGTTCGGACCTAGCATTGACATGAATCTTGTGATACGCCAGAAACAGGAATGTCATCGCGAGCATTCGGCCGGGTACTTCAGATATTGAAGCTGCTGTCATGCCTAATCCTTGGGCTGCAAACCTCGATATTGGCCGACTTTGCAATTTGCAAGGCTTTTTGGAACCGATCCACTTTGGAAGCCAAGTCGTTTCGCTTGGTCGACGTCACATAGCTTTCACCGGCTATATGCTCGAGCTCACTATCCTCGAGGTTCCTAATGAATTCAGGTGACAGCGTCCTCACGGGTCCATTGACCCCAAGAAGGCGACGTTCGGCTTCCTGAAGAATGACGTTGTCTGTAAATCTCTTCCGAGCAACCTTGTAGTATGCCTTGAGAGTGTCGTGGATATTCTCAACAGCTTGGTCCTCGTTGCTAAGGTGTACCACACCCACGAGTTGCAGACAAATAACTGCCGTCGCGAAAGCCCTTCGCTTTGAGGCGTTGGAAAGTGCGCTCCTCACGAATGTTGGACAGCGTCTCAGCGAAATAGTTATTGACTGTCTGCAAGATACCGCCCCTCTCATCCTGTAGTAGACTGGCCAATTCATAAGCTGAACGGTTGACAGCTTCCTGATTTTGCTGGCGGAGACGTGCTCTGAGGTGATCTTTGACCTCTTCGTCGCCGATCAGTTTGTCGAAGATTGTCTGGTTGAAAACATCAACGGCTCTAGCTACCTTGTCGATATATTTGGTAGCAATCGGCTCCCATGCCACGGTTTGCTGCTGGAACATACATCCAAGAACACTGGGATTTACCATACCCGGCAGCTCGGCACCCCGTGAATCGCGATATAGTTTCCGAATCCAGTCATATATGTCGTCTTCCGCGCAGCCGGTGCGTTCGTACTCCTCGTCTCGCCCACCGTTAAGATTCTGAAAAATCTTGGTATGACCATCACGGGCGATCGATTCTGCAAATTTGTCGTTGAGATTCCTGATGTGCATTCTCAGCTTCAAAATACTGTCCGGTTCTAGAGTAGAATCATAGCTGCTACCCGCTCATATTTCGCGGCAATTTGAGTCACATAGCGTCGTTGATCTGGAGCTGTTTGTCGTGAAGGCCCAAGCTGCTCCAACTCCCGCCGCGCGTTTCGCAAGAATTCTTCGATGTCTTTCACTACACCGGGAAACTCTCCACGGATATGCGCATACAGGAGTTGTCCCAGGAAAACCTTCAACTGTTTGATGCCAACTCTGTCTGTTTGAAGAGTGTTCCACGGCGATACGGTGGAAAAGAATTCCTTTTCCCGTTTGTGGCGGCCGTCAATCGTCATGCCATCTTAATATCTTTTGTTGAGCGGTTTCGGACGGCAAACCAACCGTGAGTCAGCCTTTCATCTTCATTTCTAGCGATTTTCAGAACCTATATCAATTAGACACGTCTCCATTTGGTAGAGACAAGCCAACTTACCCTGTCCTCATCGCCAGGCTCCAAAGCGTCGCATTTGGTAATGATTCCGACTGTGCGAACCCCTGCAGGGTCTGCGGCTAGAGCCATAGAGAATCTAGACCCCTCAGCTATGTGCTCCATATAGACATGTCGGATAACTCACACTTCTTGATTGGCAAAATTGTTTCTCGCATCCATCACTGCCCTAAACAGATCGTCAGCGTTCGGATCCTAGCTCCAAGAATAGCTACTAACAGGATAATGGTTCGTTTATCATTGAGGTAGCTTTTGATCAGCTTGCGAATGGTCTCGCGATCTTCTTCTGTCTGGTCGTCTGTGGGGTCTGCGAGTTCGCTCAGCACAAGCACCAATCTCTTTTGGGGGTCATAATTACTGTGGAACAAGCCAGGCACATCCACCACACTTAAGTTTTGATGTTATGGGCCAAAAATCTCGATTCTCAGAATGTCATCTGAAAATCGCTTGTCCAGGTTCATCAGGTCCTCAGTATCTGGCCCCGGGACGCCCATGCGTTTTGCAGCCTGTGCATCTAAGCGGCCGAGACACAATATGCTCGGAGTATGAGCTTACCTCATTGAAGATTTGCCTCAAGTCATCACTCCCAAAATCGTCTTCCGCCATCTTCCTCTCGAATCCTGAGAGATGTGCCTTGTACTCATCATCCGACTGAGTTGTTTGACCAGGCATGATTGTGATTCGGACTCCTGCCTCGCTCCCTGGGGCTCGAATGAGGACAATCTGTGTTACAAACCGAGTACACAGGTCGCTGGCTACCGGGAAGCAGAAGCCTGTCATGCCCTCTAGGACAGAGGATTTTCCACTGGATTGATCGCCGACAACTAGCTACCATTTCTTTCAGCAAAACAAAGCCCAACGCGGGAGAAAATGGATGTGTTACCTGGGGAAGTGAGACGCTCTCACTGATTCCTAGCTCGCGTAGTTTGTCAATTATCTCAAGGAGGAGTGCACGTCCTTCTGTGTCGAAGCCATCAATGTCTGACAGCGATAGGCTGTTTAATCTGCCCATACTGTCGAACTCTCACTGTAGATGGGACTTGACGTTCTTTGGGGGTTGTAATCACACAATATCGACTGGGAGGTGGAAAGGAGAGAGTAGCTTGAGGTTGAGATGAGGAATGTCTTCACAAAATGGAGAAGCTTGTGTCAGGTTCTTATATGGTGAGATGGGAGATAAGTGTTGTGGGGTTAAAGGGGATTTCTGAAAATTTTTGTTTGCTTCTCGTTTGTGTTCTCTTTAACGAGCTGATGATAAACAGCGCTGGTAGTGTCTGCCTTGCTACCACTTTCTCAAAGTGGCGTAGAAGTGAGGCTCCAATGTGTTCAGTCTTCTTTCACCTGTGACTACTTTCGAGCATGGAATGGCCACTAATCGTCTGGCTCTTGACATTGGGACAGGCCTCAGAGGGGCAGCTCATCACAGTTTCTTTAAGAAGCTGTGAGGCCATTCAGGGTCAGCTTCAAGAGAATGTTGACATTTTGTCATTGCTATTCCACGTTTGTCTCCGGATCATTGGGAAGACCTCAGGTCTTAGAACAAGCGTTATGCTTTTGAGATCCTTCGTAAAGCATCCTGAAATGAACTATGATTCCTCTGACGAGGCCTTCCTCTGTAATACCGTATATTCGTTGTCCACAAGCAGCATGCTTCCTAGGAACTGGGGATCATTACATTGTCCTTGCACAATGATTTCGGTAGACAGCTCATCTCCTTGCAATACTGCCACAAAATAATTCGCACAGTAGTGAACTCTCTCCTGAGACGGCCAATTTAAATGAGCTAGCTCTTGCCATGGCCTCTTTAATCTTAGGCTTCAAAGAACAGTGAGTCATGGTATTCTTTCTGCTGTGCTGCCGGACCTCCCCATTGGACCTAACTACTTCGTAGCGAGATTAGTATGCCGTGTCACTATGCAAGGGCCGACATTTATGGCAATGGGGATTCTCGAAGTGAAGCCATTGCTTCAAACGTTCGTGTCGTGGAGGATGTGTTTGCTGGCTCTGGAGAGAAGCAGCTTGGGCCTTCGGTCCAGAGTCCAGACTATGACCTGAGTTTCCCTCTGGGTACTGTAGCAATTACGTTCTTGAAAATGCAAAAAAGGTTATGCAGCATTTCCCTGTTCAATCTCTTTAACGACGTAACCACCACCATCGCGAACCATGACATCCAAACAAGCGGTAAGGTAGGCGGTCAAAGCCCAATCCGGTACTGCCAGACTTTCCGCCCCTCATCAGCCACAAAGCGCAAAATGGCAACAAATCAACACATCCAGGAACAAATCAGACAATTTTCCACGATATACACGAGATATAATATTTTGCCATCAATTCCTTACCGCCGATACTAGACAGCGGAATTTTATTGAAGATCATTGCCTTGTGGGCTCAGTACAATTGGAGAGCGCGGAAAATGTCAACAACACCGAGGAGATCAACTCCGACAGTCTTTGAGCAGCAGCGAGCAGAACTGGTCCGGGAAATCGCAGTGGTAAGCAATCCGTCGCTGAATGAGAGACAGAAATGACAGCATTATGCACTTTTCCAAATCTCTTATTTTATTGATTTCCTTTAATGGATTGGAGCCACTCTCTTTACTACAACGCTGATGGATCCGTAACAGGGTATGGAGCAAGTACTCCAAAACATCAACCGCCTAAACCGCAACCTGGAAAGTATCATTGCAGTAAGTAACAACGAAGGAAATGATTAATCGGCCCGTTAATAACATGGTACACAGGTTGGCAATGAGTTCAGTTCCGTCGAAGCTCTCTGGTCACAGTTTGAGAACTTCATGGGCCGTTCTGAAGAGAGTGAGCAGAACGGGACGAGGTCGGGTGAAGGGCAACGTGATGGAGAGGAAGGAAGGGAAGGCCATGATCAGAGTTTCTCCGAGGGAGCATCGACAAGTCACTAGCGGTATAAGCACACGGTGTCTTGCATATGATGATCGCTCTACTTCTTTTACGAGTTATGTACTTATTTTACCGGGTTGGATATTTCACTATTTGATACCACTGCTACGTCAAACGGATTCTGCTACAAAGGTAACAGACACATATTTAGAATCATCAGTTTTGATAGTTTATCCTTTCAGGTACATGGGATCGTTGCTTGCGCCGGTAAACACCCTTGCCATGCATGCAGAAGAGTGGCCTCAGGCTAGTTCATGACAGACATCAAATGTTAAATAGAGGCAATCGCGCAAATGGAAACGAGGACAAAAAAAGGGTAATCGTTGGGTTCATGGTAACAATCATCAAGACCAAACCGGTATAGCAACATGGGGAGAACATAAATCAGAAAGCCACCTTGACCAGCATGTCCGAAGTAAGGAATGACAAGCCGCAACACCTGCCAGAAGCCGAATATTACTTTTCCAACTCTTATTCGGCTCGGGATACCATGTCACGTACAAAAAAAGTGTTATCTGGTCTATCGCGGCGTCGAGGCAACCAGGCCCCGAATCGGCTGAACGAAAAACTGTGAAACAAGGAAAGGTAAAGCCAGCGGAGAGAAGCACAAGATTTACAAAATCTTGCAAGTACGCTTCTTAACCTTCTTAGTACCTCTCCTGGGGCCACCGCCGCCTCCTCCAAATTTGCCGCTGGTGCCATTACTCTGGCTGGTGTCCATCCAGTCTTGTTCTTCGGCAGACACGACGGTATCGACTGCCATTGCAAAAACTTCATCCACACCGCGCATTTCCTTGCTACTGCATTCGATATAGGAAGCGTTCATTCTCCTGGCAACTGCCTCGCCCTGTTCCGGTGTGACGGGAGTCAATCCTTGAGTTTTCAGGAGTTCGATACAAGTCCTCTTCGTGCGCAGATCCGACTTCAAACCGACGAGTATTATAGGCGTGGTGGGACAGAAATGCAGTACTTCGGGATACCACTGTTCATGTTGGTCAGATGTTGCAGGAAGATGAGAGGTGAGTATAATACCTTGTCCATGACATTCTCTAGCGATGCAGGACAATCGATGGCAAAGCAGACGAACAATAGATCTGTTTCGGGATATGAGAGCGGCCGCAGTCTGTCGTACTCTTCCTGTCCAGCAGTATCCCAGAGAGCCAGTTCGACTGTCTTTCCAGAAGCTCGGTGGGTGGTTTGCGTGATATAATTCTCAAACACGGTAGGAACATATTTCTGAAAGGCAGAAGTTAGAGCAGTGAGAGATGAGTCTTGTCAAATCCGACGTTCAAGGATAAAACACTTACCTCTGGGAAATACCCTTGTGAATAACTGATGAGAAGACATGTCTTACCGCAACCACCGTCTCCCACCACCACAAACTTTTTTGAGTACGCTGGCGGTTGAGTGATGTTTGTGGCTTCCGACATCCTTCCACTTGAGACGCTGGTATTTGTGCTGACGGTCCCATTACTCACCCTCACACTTTGACTACGGGTCCGATTGTGTCTTGGAGTCATGGAGGGTGGTGGAGTTGCAAGGGAACGGCGTCGAGAGGCTGCGTAGCCACTATCTTCATACATGTGTCCGGACATGTCCATGAATCTAGGAGAATAAATTTGGCACGAGGTAGGTACCTAGCGGACCCAGAAAGGGAGAAATCTGTCTGATGTACGGGGTGCTGTAACGGTCCAGCTGACGTATCAAAAGCAGAACGGAGTTTATTGTCTTCCCAGTCGCAGGTGACTCGCTGGTAACCGATGGTGCCGTGCGGTTCGAACAAACAGATGGTAAATTGATGCTCTCGATGGGTGTTTAGAGGATAAGGTGCGGTTGAAATATGGAACAATTGAAGGATGAAAGGGATGCCACTTCGTAAGATCCGTTTCTCCCAATTGAGTAGAGCATGGCTGCTGCTCCAACAACGAGTGCAGGTGACATGAAACTGCAGCCCTCAAAATGCGGTGTTTACGGGCTGGAGGGCTGCCATGGCAACCGCGCGTGGTTGGGATGACGCACGAAGCTCCGCTGCCACCAAGCCTAGCACCATACTCTTTGGTTCCAGAATCCCCATTCGTGCACGCTCTCAGTTCTCATCTTATTTTTAGAGTACCAGCGATACACAAACAAGATCCGCCCGTTGATCTAGTCCATATTTCGTTGTGTTGTCGTTGGCTGGCTGAGCTGGAGGTTCGGACCATTGAGCCGCTCCGATCGGAAAGCTGACCCTGGTTCAGTACTGGAATTGGACCCCAGCACGCAACTACTAGCTGCCTAGTGATCCTAGAGAGGCACCTCTACAGGCCCTCGGCTAACGTTCCTTGTATCTCAGCGCCTGCCCAGGCTTTCTTGCTCACTTTCGTCATGAATCAGTGTCGGCTTAATCGTCCAAACAGAGGGGTAACAGGCTTTGCTACCTCGGATATGAAGAGCTCCAGTCCCAATACCCATGCTTGAATCAGCGAACTTTCCTGCTTCCTGCGCTGGGGGTGATCTAGACTTGTCTGCACCAAAGAAGGAATTTAGAGTTACACGCAAGCAACATTCCTTGCATGTGATTCCAGGCGTTGAGAACCTCAAATCTCAGACATAAAGCATGAAGAGTCCGACCAATGGATGATTTATGCAGTAGTCTACCCATGTGTGCAGATGATTCAGCTCGGACGATTTTGACAGTCCAGGCTGGATCTAATAGAGGCCTCAAAGAGTCAAGACTGGCCGAGTCCAAAGGTGCTTACTCCAAAATATATATCTGCG